TGTCAGTCGTCTATCTCCCAAAAATCTCGCTTGCCACTCTCCCATTCTCGCTCGCCACTTTCCCTCTGCTTGCCTCTCTCGCTTTATACAGAAGTGTATAAATTGTGTTTCTGTTTTGTATAAAGCGAGATAAAATTGTATATGCATATGCAAAAACATATATCTTCGTGCTATACACTTAATTATACAATTTACAAACATTTTACTTCAATTCAATTGTAGACAAATGCAAATTTTATACAAATATTGCAGCGAAAAATGCCAACGAATTATACTATTGCAGTGAAATACATTTTTCTCTCGCTTTATACAACAGAAGTGTATATATTGTGTTTCTGTTTTTGTATAAAGAAGCGAGAGAAAAACATATATCTTCTTTATATACACTTATAATTATGCAATATACATACAGTTTACTTCGATTCAATTGTATGCAAAACAAATTTTATACAAATATTGCTGTGAAATAGGTAGTGAATTATACAATTGTGCATTATACAATTGCAGTGAAATAGGATAGCGAATTATACAATTGCAGTGAAATAGGCCAGCGAATTATACAATTGTATATATATATCGAATTATACAATTTTATGTTTGCTATGGAGCGCAATTATGCAAACTTTGTTATAACTACAAATATGAATTTTTTGTTTGCTATATGTGAAAGTTACCCTATAATTTATTTGATCCCACACAAATTCAGTCCAACCTACTCATTTGACATGCCTATACGCAAAGATAGTCCAACAAGTTAGTACGAAAGTGAACTCTCGGGAGTAGTTATAATCTTGATATTTAGTATATGGGGTCCCTATCCACCTAACTCTCTGTAGGCAAAATTTAATGCCTTTCATTTTGGTCCAGAGTTTGAAGTTTTAGGAACCTAAACAGAGAAGATTACCTGTTAGAAAGCATCAGTTATGTGTCAGAAGAAAGTGTTGTTGATAGTATTTGTTTCATTTCTTGTCCCATTTTGTAGTTCCATTGATACTATTTCCTTTAACCAAACTCTCAAAGATGGTGATTTGTTGATCTCTTCAGGGAAATCTTTTGCTTTGGGTTTCTTTGGGAATTCCCCTGGTAAACGTTACATCGGAATTTGGTATAACAATGTTCCTGAACTTACTGTTGTTTGGGTTGCCAACAGAGATAACCCTGTTAATGGCACATCTGGGATTCTCACCATCGATTCAACTGGGAATCTTGTTATACGTCTCGATGCGGAAAGAAAAACTGCAGCCTGGAGAACAAATGTTTCTTCAGCTAGGAAACGAGCAGACTCGTATACAGCTAAGCTGGAGGATTCAGGGAATTTTGTGTTGTTTCAAGACTCCAAAATGGATGTTATTGAATGGCAGAGCTTTGATTATCCTACCAATACTCTGCTTCCTTCAATGAAATATGGGATAGACAAGAGAACGGGATTGAACCGGTTTCTGACATCATGGAAATCGTTGATCGATCCAGGCACTGGAGAGTATCGTTACACAATGGAGCTCAATGGGACACCTCAAGTTTTCTTGTACAAGAACTCTAGCAGGATTTGGCGGACAGGATCCTGGACGGGTCATGGTTGGAGTGGTGTACCAGAAATGAGCCCGCGATTCATCTTCAGCCTTAGTTATGTAGACAATGATACCGAGGTTTCCTTGACATATGGCATACATGACAGTTCAATAATCTCAAGAATGGTCCTGAATGAATCTGGGATCGTGAACCGGTTAACTTGGCAAGAGAGTGAGCGAAAGTGGGTGCAATTCTGGTCTGCCCCTAAAGACCCTTGTGACAATTATGAACATTGTGGAGCATTTAGCAATTGCAATCTGCTCAATTTGGCTGAATTCGAATGCAGTTGTCTTCCAGGGTACGAACCAAAGCTAAGCCGACAATGGTTCTTAAGAGATGGCTCTCATGGATGTTTGAGGAAGAAAAATGAAGAGGTGTGCAACAGTGGTGAAGGGTTTGTCACATTAAGTCATGTGAAGATCCCCGACACGGGTGCAGCTCGGATGAACAAGAGCATGGGATTGAAGGACTGTGAAGAGTTGTGTCTGAAGAATTGCTCCTGCACAGCCTATGCAAGTGCTAATATTAGTGCCGGAGGAAGTGGATGCATCACTTGGTATGGTGAGTTGATAGACATAAAGCAATTTACAGATGGAGCCCAAGATTTATATATCAGAGTCTCTGCATCTGATTTAGGTAAGGAGTTAACTTAATATATTGTGTGAGGATTTAGGTAATTCAATATTATGTGGAGAAGAATGTGCAAGTTGGTCATTTTTTGTTAGTAGTAGTACACAGTATCTAACCCTGGTGTTCACTGGAAGTTCTCATTTTTTGTTTGTTCAGCGCAATTCTCGAAGATTTCAAGAGGTCATAATAGGAAAAGAATGATAGGGATTCTAGTAGGGTCTGCTGCAGCAATAATTCTTGCACTCTCTTTGGCATGTTGTTTGGTGATCAATATAAGGGGAAATGGTAAGGATATTATTCTATATCATAATTTAATCGAACATTATTTTCAGTATCTGTATGGCAGCAGCTATAATGGTGAAGTAACTTTAGAAACCTAGAGCTCCTTCTACCTTTCAATATCGTGCAGCAAAAAAAAAAATGGCACAACTGCAAATTTCATTTGATCCTAATCTGTGTTTGCTGATGTCACAGATAATGAAAGAAGTGAAAGTTTAGCATCCTATGACGGCATGGAAGAAAGTAAACATGCAGAAATCACTATCTTTGATCTAACCACAATAACTAATGCCACTGATCAGTTCTCTGATGCTAACAAACTTGGTGAAGGAGGATTTGGTAGCGTATACAAGGTAACAACTCCCAAATATGATTAAATTCCTAGCGATCAACATTATCTTTATAGGTGGCTGCAAATACATGTAATAATAATTGTTAAACCAAGCTTTTCACCCTTAAGAAAAAGAAGAAGGTACGTGTACTAAATAATAATCTGGATTCAATATCAGGGTCACCTGACAGATGGACAAGTAATAGCTGTCAAAAGACTTTCAGTAACTTCGGGGCAAGGGACGGAGGAGTTCAAGAATGAAGTCACAGTAATTGCAAGACTTCAGCACAGAAATTTGGTGAGGCTTTTAGGATGTTGCGTTCAACGAGGAGAGAAGATGTTGGTTTATGAATATATGCCAAACAAATCCTTGGACAGTTTTATTTTTGGTAAGGAACATCTCCAGGACCGAAATTTCTTTCATTGACCTCCAGTCTCTACATGCTTTTACATGTTTACTGATGATTAATGATTACTGCTTTAACGTGTGTGTGTGTGTGTCCCTAAAAAGATCTCTTATTCACCAACTTTCAAACGGTGATCTAGATAAAACAAAAGGGTCTTTGTTGGATTGGGGAAAACGGTTTGGAATCATACATGGGATTGCACGAGGAATGTTATACCTTCACCAAGACTCTAGACTAAGAATTATTCATAGAGACCTAAAAGCAAGCAATGTTTTACTCGATGCCTCCATGCAACCGAAAATATCAGACTTTGGAATGGCCAGAATATTTGGAGGTGACCAAATGGAAGCAAACACAAATCGAGTTGTTGGAACATAGTAAGTATGTCAAGTTGTGTATAAACATATACAACTTTTATCAAACATGTGCATGTGATCGTTAAAATGATAAATCTTGATATTGTTTATCTATTGCAGTGGTTATATGTCACCTGAATATGCAATGGTAGGGCATTTTTCAGCAAAATCTGATGTTTTCAGTTTCGGGGTTTTGTGTTTGGAAATTATCACTGGCCGAAAAAACAACAGTCATAAGGATCAGGAGCAATCTCGCCATTTAGTTGGATATGTAAGTACAAACATATATATGTGAACAGTTGCCTTACACATAAGCTGTGTCACAGATGGTAGTACTGCAAATAATAATATGAAAACAATCCCCTTTCAAGTTCTTGAAGTACTGAATAGACCGAGATTTTGTATTTCAGAATTTCTATTTCTGGTGTTATAGTCGCCTCTCTAATAGAGCAGAAATTGCTCTCTATTTCAGGTTTGGGATCTTTGGAAGGATGAAAAGGCTTTAAATGCTGTTGATCCATTGTTAAGTGGCTCATATGAAGCTTGTGAAGTTTTGAGATGCATCCACATTGGCCTTTTGTGTGTACAACCGTTTACTGATGACAGACCTACTATGTCAGAAGTGGTCTTCATGCTGTGCAATGAAACAAATCTTCCTTTCCCTAAACAACCTAGCCTTATATTCAGATCAGAGAATCATAGTTCAGTTAAAAACTCTTCATCAGCAAGTATAGCAACATCTTCTGTTAACGATATGTCTATTTCAACAGTTCATGGTCGCTAGAGCTTATGCTAACTATTCAATAACTATTTCGAAAGAAATACAAAATTCCTTTTTCTTTACTATCTAACTTATGATTCCCCATGGTCCATGTTATAGACTTAAAGGTAGGTGGGTGGCAAAGGATTGATAGGAAAGAAGCATAAACACAGAGGGTTTCTACTCCATCTGTGAATTAAATGGCGCCCTTTGTCAGTTGTGTTAAGGCAGTTAATGGAAGCGCATTCACATTCAGAAGTGTTTGATATTTGCCACAGTTCATGTTTTCTTAAAGTCTACTCTGTGTTCATCAATGCTCTAAAAGCAATCCTGCTAGCAACAAAAAAAAATTCAATTTTCTTTATTGATTTAGAGGATAGTAATTTGGTTGTAGAGTTTTGTCAATTAATGAGGTAGTTAACTATTATTAGTCGGTTATGTTTTTCCTCAAAACATTGTGTATAAAAAAATACAAACGTGTAAGTAATCTTATGAAAGATTTTAACTTTGTTTTCATAATTAGATCATGAGATAGATCTCTGTCAAAGACAACAGTAGTATTATGATCATGAATAAGAGCATAGAGGACCACCTCATACTTTGATAAGTAATGACAACTAGTTACATTTAATCAACAGGTAACATAAATACATAAAAACATCAGACAACTAACAAACATAAGGTGCTGTAATTGTCACCTCATTGATCGAAGATGATGCTATTTCTGTAGTAATCAAGTCTGAGTTAGGAGTAATGAAGAGCTGCTTCGGGTAGGGAACCGTTGCTTCAATACTTAGCATGGACAGAATTGTTGGCATGGTTGGTCTGTCTGCTGCGTTGAGTTGCAAACACAATAGTCCTACTAGAATGCAGCGTAATGCTTCCTCACTGGGACATGAATCAACTATTGATGGATCTACCAGATCAAAAGCCTTACCATCATTCCATAACTCCCAGGCCTGAAGCAGCAGTTCACTTAGCAAATAAGTTTGATTATTAAATCAAAAGATAGTTTCAAATGTTTGTATCTTAAAACTCACTCTTCGTATCAAATTAGGAGGGGAATCACTATTATAAGAGACCATATTCCTTTTTCCACTTATGACCTCCAATAATATAACACCAAAGCTGAAGACATCAGATTTTACTGAGAAGAGACCAGCTCGAGCATATTCAGGTGACATATAGCCATTGCAAAGGGAAAGGGCAATAATGAGTGCGCAAAGTATTGATAAATGGTAAGGATGCGACAGAGAAATCCCTTTTGGTATTTTCTTGCTTACTATGTTCCAACAAGTCGAAGAGTCTTAGCTTCATTCTGGTTTCCACTAAATATTCTAGCAGTACCAAAATCTGATATTTTGGGGTTCATATCTTCATCTAAAAGAATGTTGCTGGCTTTCAGATCACGGTGTATTATTCTTAATCTTGAGTCCTGATGAAGATAGAGTATCCCTCTAGCGATTCCAATAATGATTTCATACCGCCTTCTGCAATCAAGCAACAACTTCCTGCTCTCGTCTAAGTTGTTCATATTAAATTTATCCAGTAAGCACTACTTAGGAGGAAATAGTTAACATAACATCAGATAAGAAGTTATCATACCAAATATGAATTAGTCTAGACTTTTGTTTGGCATATATTCGTAGATCAACATTTTCTCCACTTCTTCTTCACAGCAGCCAAGAAGCCTAACAAGATTCTGTGTTGAAGTTTAGCAATGAGAAGGACCTAAGTTTTGAACTCACTAATTCCTTGCTGTGATTGAGTTGATAGGCTTTTCACAGCTATTTTCTGCCCATCTGGCAATTGACCCTAGAAATTGCAATGCAATTATCACGCCATTAAAACACAAGTATGGAAAAGATTTTAGTTAAAACCATTACCTACCAGTTCACCTCAAGAGAGACTTTTTCCCATTTTCTTTGGGCCTGAGTAGAATCTAGTGTTGCAGTTATTCAGTTGTCAATATATTTCCTTATGTAGTATTAATACCTTAAAAGCAGGCCCAAAACCTCCTTCTCCAAGTTTATTGTCAGGTGAAAAATTGCCTGTCACAGCTTTCAACTCACGTGATTCAAAGAACTTCAGCTCGATGGAACATGTCTTTTCTTGTCCCTTTTTACTGGAAGTTGCAGGTTTTGACAAGTTAGTTGCTGATTTAGAAAGTAACATTTTCCTGAACTTTTTCTTACCCAAAATCCCTGATGTAAATCAATATAAACAGGAAGTTTATTGATGAGTTTAGAAGAAGCTGGACATGGGCAATTTTAACTTTTACCTAAGCATATGATTCGGAGGATATAATTTCCTTCCCATGACTAATTAAATCAAAGGTTACATTTTGATTAACCTCTTTCAGTCATGCCAGATAGAAGTGAAACTTAAGTTACTCAACTGCTACTAGCAAGAATTAGAATGTACCTTTTTCCTTGAGTTTTATTCTCCATAGAAAGTAACAGCATGTACCACAGACAAAAATTGCAGAGGTGATGGATACTACTAGTGCTACCAGTAGTAGTTTCTTCTTTCCTAAACAATAAGGGAGATCAAGAAAGGAGAAAAATTAACATATTTTTGGTTGAAAAGGAGCACATTAGAAATAAGACGCAGCTTGCGAGTGTTATTCTTACAATAACTTGTATTTATGAAGTTAATGAACAGAAACAGAAACAAGATGAAGCAGAAAAAATTTAAAATAGAAGAATTAATCCGAATCCACAGGAACTACTGTATGTCCTTAAGAAATTTAATCCCCTCACTGTACCCAAGGTTATGGATTAATTTCTCCCAAGATAAAACGGATTAAACCTGTTAAAGAAATAGCGGTACCTCAAACTTCTTTAACTTCAACGAACTGAAGAACAGCAATAAGTCACACAGACTCAGTCGATCGACACTTTGATTTTATTTGAGAGAAAAATAAATGCAGAGAAAGAAAAAATTTCAGTGATTAAAAAATAATCAAAAATTGACTTCCTTTTATAGCCATTTTCAGCAAGGAACCTGTCTGTTCAGTGAAATCTGTTCAAATCCAACAGCGAGTACCTAACCTTTGTTCGAGCGCTCAAAAAGCTTAATGTTGAACTCTAATTGACTTGAATTAGATAGATCAACCAAATCGATATACCATAATAAGCACTCTTCACTACTGCTGTAAGCATATGCATTGCATGAGCAATTGGATGAACATATATATTCACAAATCTGATCATTTCCTCCTTTCATTGATTCAGATGACACGGGAAGTTTAACATTTGGCATACGGATAAATTTTTTATTATTACTGCCACACTACTGCGGAATTTTTGTCACGCACCCACATGGATAGTTTGTACCATCCCAATCTAATTTAAATATCGATTCATATCCTTTTAAACATTCATAGGGTGGACTGGCATTCCTATCACAAATTCCAAAAGCACCACAGAAATTTATTCGGTCACAATTATCAGTAGGTCTAGATCACACTAACTGCCAACTCTGATGGTCATTAGACCAGAACCATTGCTTCATCGACCCATTAAATTCTAGGACAGTACGAGAAAAGTCGGATTCACCAAAGATATTGCAAGTGATGTATTTACTATATTCAGTTGGATCATAACTGAACTCGAATAAATCCTTATAATAACTTTGTTGTGCTAGAATAGCAAACCCTCCTTCATTCCAAGGCCCAGACCTCCATTCGTCCTTGAAATTACGTTGAACAACTAACTCACCATTTTGATTCTGGCCTAATTGTTAAATTTGACAAGATTAAAAAAATGGATTAATGAGAAGATATGGTAGTTAGGAGGATAATTTTTCATTGGTAGAAAAATCAAGATAGCAACTTTTGTAGGTGAAATTTAGGTGAACCATAAATTGATTTCACAAGGTAAATTTCGACATTTTGACATATTGTGATGTCATGTATGGCATCAATAGGAAGAACTCACTCCTATAAATAGGTAGCTCCTAATTCATTTGTAACACACCTCTAACTTGCCTTTTCATCTCCTAAGACATTTGTTCTTCTTTCTCTCTTGTAGTATTTCACTTATACTCTTTTGGGGTGAAATAAATATTGGTTGTGTCCGAGGAGTAGGTAAAAGAAAACAAAAAGTTTACCGAACCTCGTTAATTCCTGGTGTTCTTTCTATTGTTGTCTCATTTACTATTTATTAGCTACATTTTTAGATATAGCAGTTGTGATTCCATCACTCTCTATATATTCGGCTTCCGCAACACTAATTGCAAAGGGTAGCTTCCTGAAGCTGGATCATTCAGATTCCTCCAAGAAGTAAGTTTCTGGAGTGTGTTCCTGGACTTGCTAAATCCAATCATCGCACCAGGCAGCCACGTATCTGTAGGATAATTAAAGCTCTGCCACTGTCTGTCAATGCCATTTGTCAAAACAAGATTTCCGGAGTCAAGAAGTACTGCTTTATTGGCATATGCTGAAGGTGTGGATAAACTAGAACTCCAAACTCTTAATTTACGTGCATCTAAGAGTTGTAGATTTCCATCAGACAGCTTTAGATGAGAATTATTGAATGGAGGCCGAATAGGGTTGTTTTGCTATCCAAACCACGGTTTTGGGCTTTATGTTTGTATACCATAATACCAATAAAAAGCTTCTCAGTATTACCTGGACAGAAGAAACCGAGTTCAAAGATCCCTTGTTTGGATACTAAAGTATCTTCTGTGGAAAAGGAAATTCCAGGCATTCCCACTGGATGTACTTGCTTCAATTAAAGTCCAAAAGGCGGCTGATAACGAATTTCATCTAACCTTGCTAATTGTTAATGAACACTTCTCCCAGTGAATGAAATGGAATATAATCCTGAATTTTACTGATTCTTAAACTGAAAGATGTCTAGCTACTTCTTTGGTGATTTGAGTAAAAATGGAGGGGAAAGATGTAAAATGATGATTGATTAAAATATAAATGAAGTATAAAAAAAGAAGTTACTGTTGGAAGATGAAAGAAGAAAATTTTAATGAGTGAAATAAATTTTAGAGTTTCTTTCTATACACAAGAATTGTAGAGAAAGTAAATAAAAAGTTTTTCTTGAAAAAGTTAAATTTACAGAATAAATTACGAAATCATTAAAAGAGACGTGAAAAATTGAAGGTCAAATACTACTAAAATAAATATAAAAAAAATAGAGATGAAATTTTATTTTAAAAGATGCATGAATCTCATTTAAATTTTTGTCTTTAAGGAATAATTACTCATTTTTATTTTTTTAAAAATTGTGTGAGAAATTTGAAAGCTCAAGATTTTAAAATGAGAATAAGAAAGATTAAATATGTATATATAAAAAAATTATAAAAGTTTTAATTAAGTAGAAGGGCAAAATAGTAAGTTTTCCGCTTATAATAATATATGATAATATAATATGATATTTAAAATTATAATGTTAATTTAGTATAGGGGTAAAACAATAATTCAACTTTGCAGTTTGAATCTTTCTATTTATAATAATATTAGATTTAGGAACGTACGTTGCACGTTTATTCCAAGATACTTCATATAAATTTTGTATCTTAAAATTTATCATTGTTTCGGTAGAAATTACATATATCTTCCTAGTAAAAATATTATATCTTTAATTATAAAATTGACTAAAAGTGCATAATGTAAAAATAACTACCACACAAATTCAATATTCCACTGAAGATATTAAAATATAACATGATAGGTTAATGTATACAAAGCAACAGGTCATAGTAAATTATAAATAATAATAACACAACAATAGAAAGTATGTTGTACAATAACAACAAGCAAGAAACATAAATGTTAAACTAAATAAATAAAAAGAGACGAGAAAAGAGAGCATAGAGATTTTCTCATTTTTTTCAATTGGTTTAAATTTATATATTATTGTGTGAAATGTCACTATTTATTATTGGATAACATTGAGAAATACAAAGAGTTGTCATAAATAAATATTAATCCATTTGAGATTATCGATGAGAAATGAAAGTAATGAACATAATGAATATAATTAGTGAGAGTCACGTACATTTACAAGTTGATGGTAAGTTATGTATGCTAATATGATGATTTACTATTTACTATTTAATTTATTAAACAATTTATAAAATTTAAATGTACTGTGTAAACAAAACTGTAATCTAAGAATAAAATATATAAAAGAATTCAAATATATTAAATCTGTAATGGAAAATCATTATGACTAAGTATTAAAAAATTTATACGAAAATACACCATTCAATCAAATACATTCTTAAAATAAAATTACAAATACAAAAAAAAAACATCAAATATGGGAGCAAGTTTAGCATAAGGCTACCAACAAAAATGCAAATTGATAATGTAAATTGAAGACATTCCTTTCCTTATTTTTAAAACATTCCTTTTCCTGTTTTTTATTGATAATGCAAATTGAAAAAAAGCTATAGTAATAAACATTCAACCTTTGACCATAAAAAAAGTTAAAAGTTTTGGAAGAGAAGTTAACGAAAGCAACATTCAACTACATAAATGGAGGGGTCTTATCATAGTTCTAATCTCGGCAAATTACAAAAATAAATGCATCAAACTCCGATATTCTAGTAATTGAAGTGTTATTCATCCCTATAATTACATTACGCCTTGTAATCTTGACAGAAATCCTCTTTGCCTTGAAATTTTCTTCACTTGATTAAAGCTTCTCTAGTCTTCCACACACAAAAATTGTAACACGTATAAATCTTTCTATGGAAATACTATTAGAAAATTTTCGTAGAAAGATTTGTATTTATAGGGAAAAAATATAGTTTTGGAATATGAAGATTCACTTACAAAGTTGAAAGGTCAAGTATTATTACAAATTAAAGACAAATATTAATTAAAAATATAAATTTATTTGGAAGATGAAACACATACATGTATCTATTCAAAGGGATAACTCTTATTTTTAATTTTTGTTCTATTTAATTTACTCACATGTGTATACCAATTAAATAAAAATAGTATAGAAATTCTACTATTTACTATTTAATTAATTATTTATTTAATAACATTTGAATTTAGCATAAGGGTAAAATTGTAATTCAACTTTTCTACTTTGGAGCTTCCCACTTATAATAATACTAGTCTTTGGGACGTGCTCTGCACGTTTATCCCATATTATTATCATTATAAAAAAAAATTTACATTTTTTTCAAAATTTGAGAGTTTCTCCTTTTATAGTCGTATGCATAACAAGAAGTTGTTGTCGAATGAAAGTAATATTTTGCAAATGTTGGACAGAAAATTGATCAACATACGTCTTCTTTAATAAGGCTAGAATATTATTGTCAATTTTATAATATACACCTAAAAAAAGTAGTAATTATATATATTATGATGAAGATAAAATGAATCAATATATATTAATTACAATTGCACCTACATGTATCATTTCTTTGAATCAAGATTGAGATTTCTTTAACATAATAATATTATTTGTATGGTTAAAATATAATCGTATTACGAAATATAATAAGAATCAATCTCTATTCAAGAACATTTTCTTTCATATGAAAATTTGACATAAGAATATTACTTTTATTGTTTAAGTATAATTGCATTAAGAAATATAATAAGAATCAATCTTTATTAAAGAACAAGAGACTTGATATAAAAACTTAAAGAATGTTAAAAAAATATAAAATCTAAATATCCTGAAAATTACTAAGACAATTTCTCAAATCTCAAAAATCTTATTTCTATATCACATTTTGTACAAACTATATTTTATGTATGTGAAATAATAAAATTGATTAAAAAAAGAGGGAGAGAGTTGTAAATAGCATATTCATTATGTACCTGATGGTGAGAAGTGAGAGTGCGCACAATTGCCGAATAAAATCTAAAATACAGAAAAAAAAATATTTAGCAAACTGAAGGAAATCTTCATATATTAAATATATATTGTTGAGAACTAAAATGAACATAAGAGGAATAAAGTAGTTATCAATCAACAATATATTATATATTCAAAATTTTATGGCATATAGCTGCTAATGATCTATATATTCTTTCCGTCCCGTTTTATGTGACATTATTTCTTTTTTTGTCAGTATTATATAAAGCTTAAAGATGAAAGATAAATGTGAATTGAATTGTAGAAAATCAGTGCACATGACTATATATTACTCCAATTCTATTTAACAAGGAACATGAAAAGTTCATATAACTTTTGGAAGCTCAAGGAAAAAAATAGTAAATGTGGGATATAAATCAGTAGGATTATAAATTGAGTTCAAGTAATTTGTATTAAGTTAATTAATGGGGAGATGAAAGATTTCTATAAATATAGTTAAATTACGGATAAATAACTTGTTTTTAAAATGATTACTCAACTTTTAATTATTTAATATTTTATTATTTACATGTTTTATAATATTTTTATTTAGTCTTTGAGCAAAATGGTAATCCAATTTTTAATGTTGGAGCTTCTCACTTATAATAATACAAGTACTTATAATAATACAAGTACGTAAGAATCACATAGTCCATTCTTCAGAAATTTTCTCTCCAAACATTGAATTAATTACATATCTTTTTTTCCCTCAACTTATTCATTTGTCAAATTTCATCAAGAGTAATCTCTTTATTCATTTGATCTTCCGCTTTAGCCACTCATCATTTCAGTTATGTTTTACATCTTAATATCCATGTAATATTTACCTAACTAATGGATCAGTTATAGACTTTTGGGTTTTTTCATTAAATTAGTAATCATGGATATGAAATATTTGACAATATTGTAGTTAATATTGAAGGGATAACTTATTTTAAAGATTAAATAACAATATTTGGTAAAATTTGCATTGGTAAATGTAGAACACACTAATGACAGAAATTTGAATAGACGTTTTAATTGTTTTTAATTGTTTTACATTTTTTTACAATTTGGTTAAGAGAATTATTTAACTATTAAATGATAAATATGGTTCAATATTTTGATATTTAGGGGTAAATTGGTCTTTCAGCTTTTATCTTTGAGACTTTATGTTTATAATAATACTAGTTGTCAAACACGTACGTTGCACGTGTATCCCATATTATTTAATACCAAACATTTCAAATGATATAATTATTTTAAAATAATTGATGCATTAAACAATATTTAAAGGGTAAAAATGATGTTTCTGGTAAAACATTCAACTACGGATGCAAGATTAATAGAATCTGAAGAATTTATGTTTCTATTGATAAAAGCTTTTTCTTTTAATCGTGTGAGATACACTATATTTATTGGTAAAAAGAAAGATTACTACTTCAATTATATGATTTGTCAAGATTGTCAAATATCTAACACTATATTTCCATACAAAATGAAAGAAGTTAATTAAACAAAGCAATATATCAATAAGAAAAAAAATGACCAATAAATAAAAGATTACATAAGAACTATGTGAAAATACAAAGTGTAATGGACTAATATTTTCTATTCAATTTATAAAGAGAGAAATTGTGTATATGAAAGGTTGTGAATGAATATATTCAATTGTAGAAGCTAAAATGTTTAGCAATTAAAGTCATTAAGAAGTGAAAAATAATAAATTGTGACATCTAACCATGTATTCTCTGCAATTAAATATCGATATTGTATGAATCTCTCCATATGCTCTAACCTCTCTCTTCATATGCTCTAATGTTTAAGTTTTTTAAATTTAAAATGGTAATTGTTTTAAGTGCTCAAAATTCATCAATTAAGAAGAAAAATTGTTAATGCAACTCAATGATAATGGCAAAAGAAATACTCATAAATGCACTTCAAATTATTACGGTAACATTTTAGTGATATGTAAAAAGTTTTCTGTTATGGAACTTAAATTACTATTTAATAATAATTATAATAATAATCAATAATAATAATATAATGGTATTATTGTAGTAACTCAACTAGGGTTATTTTGGTATTTCAACTTTCAATTTTTTTGTTCCCACTTATAATAATATTAGTCTTTGCTCACGTGCAACGCACGTGTACCCTATTAATTAATATTTCATTTTTTTTAAATGACACAAGTATAAAATATATAAATGAGGCATAAAGTAGATTTTTTAGAAAAATAATCATAAACTTGAAACAATGAAGGGTGACATGTATACTCCAAATTTTGTGAATTAATTGAAACGTCAAGTAATATTACCCTATTATCAAATATAGATATGAGAACCATATATTTATTCAGTGGTCATTTGTATTACATACACTTGTATAATATATATGCATGACTTTTCAATTTAATTGGTACCATAAAAGTGAGGTTCAACCATATTATTTTAATTGTTACCATAAAAGTGGCATTACTACGATGACTTTTTGAAAGTTAATGTCTCTATGATCATATACTATGTGTTGACAGTAATAACTACATTTCTTAAAGGATGAAAAAGTTCGTCAAAGAACCAACAAAAATTGAAATCCCAAAATAAAAAATAGAAAATTATCACATAACGTATAAAATTGAGCAATACCTCGAGAATACATTTCAAAATTACTAAAATAGTCAAAAAATAAATATAAAGAAACATTCAATGATACAACATATTAACAAGACCACACAAAAATAAAATAGTAACTGTGTAAACCTCTTCTAGTCTCGGTTGAAACCATAATGAGGCTAAGCATATCAAATACCATAAAAGCAATAAAAAAGTTGATATTCAAAGAATACATCAAAATCTAATATTAAGAAAGAAGAATCAAAAGCAAATAACACTAAAAAGATCACAAAATTAACAAATTGTATTACAGATTCTTAGCACAATTTGATAAAAACAAGATCAAAAACTTAAAAAAACATATTAAAATACAATAAACAAAATTAAGATTAAGTAAATAAAATAATTAAAAAAAAAACATAAAGATTCAATATGAATGAAATTATCTTTAGTGTCTATACTAGTTCTTGTATATCTTTTCTCTATTAACAACAAAAGGTGATAAAGAAATAATTACTGACACAGTCCCAAGCCAAAATTAAATTGATTTTGATAAAGAAGAATTGATACACACATTTATTAAGAAAAATACAACTTTTGGTCTTTCCTCTTCTTGTAACTATTTCCTAAAAGAATTTGAACCATTGTGTCTAGAGACATGAATTTAAATAAAAAAATATTATCTAATATATTAAATTAATTATATATTAATATTTATTTAGTTTAGAGATAAAATAAGGACAAAATAGTAATTCAATTTTTAAGTTGAGAGCTTCATGCTTATAATAATATATGATATGATATGATATGATGATTATTATATCTTTTAAAAATTGAGTACTCCATCCGTTCAAAAAAGAATAATCTCCTTTCTTATTTTTTTTATAATAACTTTTCACGTGTCATGTTTAAGACCACAAAATCAAAAGACAATTTTATACATTTTGACCTAACTTTAATTTAGGACCACAGAATTTGAAAAAAAAAATTTATACTCTTACGCTCCGTATCAAACCATATTATTGTTCGTATATTATCTTTTTAAACATAAAGTATATAATTAGAAAGAGTTACTTTTTCGGTGTGAACTTTGTAGAGAAATGAGGACAATAAAGGGGATAAAATCTCAGTTCACACTGAATAAGAAAACAAGAAGAAAGTTCCTGATGGGTGATGGGAAACCAAGAAACCCAGCAATTTTTAAATTGATCTGTGATATTCACGTGTTTTTAAGATACACGTGCCTCGGCTCCCACGTTAGCAATTATTTATACCACAGCCAAAAATTCAGTGAAACAAGATTGTTGTAACTCAATTCATTCAATTCTTATTAAGATTTAGCTATTTTATTTGTTCTTTTATGAATTTTAAGTAGCTAAAAATTATTGTTTTGTTTATCCTAACAATATATATAACATGTGACATATCAAATTAGAAAATGTCTTGTGACAATCTCTCCAGAATCAATTTGGACAGCATATCAACCCAATTCATTGAGCTAGTAAATGGACGGGTCAGTAACCCTCCCACACTTGAACAGATTGCCTGATGACTGATGTATCATAATCAGCTGACTAACGACCATCAGGTGTAGTAATAGTCACCTCATTGATCGAAGATGGTGTTGTTTCTGTGGTACCCGATTCAGAGTTGGGGGTAATCAATGGCTGCTTCGGGGAGGGAACCGTTGCTTCATTACTTAGCATGAATAGAACTGATGACATGGTTGGTCTGTCCCCTGCATTCACTTGCAAACACAATAGCCCTACTTGAATACAGCGTAGTGCTTCCTCACCGGGGCAAGAATCAACTATAGTTGGATCTATCAGCATGAAGGCCTTGCCATCATTCCAAAGCTCCCAGGCCTGAATCAGTAGTTCATTTAAATGGATAAATTTGATTCTTAATCAAAGAAAGATTCAAACATTTGCATTTCACAACTTACCTGTCGTATTAAATTTGGAGGGGAATCACTATTATAAGAGATTCTGTTCTTTTTTCCACTGATGATCTCCAATAATATGACACCAAAGCTAAAGACATCAGATTTTACTGAGAAGAGACCAGCTAGAGCATATTCAGGGGACATATAGCCACTGCATAGAAAAGGAGCTATAGTGAGTAGGCAAAATATTGGTAAGTAGTATGGGAAAAGACCTTTCAGTATTTGCTTGCTTACTATGTGCCAACTATTCTAAGAGTATTTGCTTCATCTTGGTTTGCGCTAAATATTCTTGCTGTACCAAAATCTGATATCTTGGGGTTCATATCTTCATCTAAAAGAATGTTGCTGGCTTTCAGATCACGGTGGATTACTCTCAATCTTGAGTCCTGATGCAGATAGAGTATCCCTCTAGCTATACCAATAATGATCTCATGCCTCTTTTTCCAATCAAGCAAAGACCTCCTGCTCTCGTCTAAGTTGTACATATCAAATTTATCCAGTAAGCACACATTTGACAGGAGAAAAGGGTTAACACATAAACACATAGTAGTAAATTATCATACCGAATATGAAATAGTCTAGACTTTTATTTGGCATATATTCATATATCAACATTTTTTCCTCCTCTTCTACACAGCAGCCAAGGAACCTAACGAGGTTTCTATGTTGGAGTTTTGCAATGAGAAGGGCCTCAGTTTTGAATTCACTTATGCCTTGCCTTGATTGAGTTGATAGCCTTTTCACAGCTATTTGCTGCCCATCTGGCAATTGACCCTAGAAATTGCAAAAAACCGATTGTCACACCGTCAAAACATAAGTACGGCCAGCAAAGATATTAACTAAAATCAGGATATATACTATCTGGCAATTTCTGGAGGGATTTCTTTCCATTTTCTTTAGGTGTGAGCGCATATTCGTGTATCAGGTATTCAGGTTGTAGTAACAATACCTTAAAAACAGGCCCAAAACCTCCTTCTCCAAGCTTATTATCAGGGGAAAAATTGTTTGTCGCGGCTTTCAAGTCATGTAATTCAAAGAACTTCAGTTCAATGTCACCTTTCTTTTCTTGTCTCTTTCCAATGGAAGTTGCAGGTTTTGACATGTTAGTTGCTGAGTCAGAAAGTAACATTTCCCTGAACTTCATCTTTCTCAAAATCCCTGAAAAGGCAATTGAAACATGAAGTCTATAGATGAAGCTGTACATCAGTAATTTTAACTTATAATCTAATCCATGATTGTATTGACAGTGAGAACACAGTTAAGCCAGACAAATTGCTGCTAGTAAGAAATAGAATGTCACACGAAGACTGCCCGAGTTCCAGCAGTTCAATAATAAATCCAGAAGGACTAGGTTCGCTTATTGGCATCCCACATATATTCATTGTCAAGAAAATGTCAATCTCGATTGAAAGCTAGTTCATTAGGTGAGGATAGCCAAGACAATATAAGGAGACAAGAGCCTATACCCTCATGGCCTCAACCAATGTAGGCCACATTAACATTCATGAAGCGCTGGAATAACTATTGGAAATATAAAGAAGTACCTTTTTTCTTGAGCTTTCGTCTCCAAAGAAAGTAACAGCATGTACCACAGACAAAAATTGCTGAAGTGATGGATGCTACTAGCACTACAAACAATGACTTTTTATTGCCTGAGCAATGAGATAGATGGGGAGAGGAGAAAAAGAACATAATGTCAGTTTTAAGTAAGCACAATTAGAACAAGATGCAGTTTAGAAGCACCTAACCTTTGTTTGAACGCTCAAAAACTTTTATGTTTAACACTGCTTGACTTGAATTACCAGACAATCTTCTCAGATTGATAAGATCATCATTCCATAATAAGCACACTCCACTATTGCTGTAAGCATAAGCCTTGCATGAGCAATTGGATGAACATATATATTCACAGATCCGATCATTCCCCACTTGCACTGATTCAGATGATGCAGGAAGTTCTACATTTTGCATATGAACAAAACCATTGTTATTGCTGCCACACTGCAGCGGAGTTATTCTCACACACCCACCAGAATAATCATTAGTATCCCAACCTAATGGAAACTTGGGTTCATAACCTTGTAAACATCCACAGGTTGGACTGGTATTTATATCACAAATTCCAAAAGCACCACATAAATTCATTGTGTCACACATATCAATAGGTACAGACCGCATAAGCATCCAATTCTGATGCTCATTAGACCAGAAGAGTTCCCTCATTAACCCGCTATGATCTAGGACAATTCGAGAAACGACAGATTCATTGAAGACATTGTAAGTAATAAATGCACTATGTTCTGTTGGATTATAACTGAAGTTGGATTCCACGAGATTCAAAGGCCACCAGATCCACATTTTCACGAGGTTACGTAGCATGACTAACTCACCATTTTGATTAGGGTCTAATTCCAAAGAGAAGTGTCCTGAAGCTGTATCATTCGTATTCGTCCAAGAAGTAAGTTTCTGGAGTGTGTTCTTGGACTTATCAAATCCAATCCTTGCACCAGGCAGCCATGTATCTGTAGGATAATCAAAGCTCTGCCACTGTATTTCAATGCCATTAGTCAAAATGAAATTTCCAGAATCAAGAAGTACTGCCCTATTGACATCTGCTGTGGATAAATTAGAGTCCCAGACTCTTTGTTTAAGTGCATTAAAGATTCCTAGATTTCCATCAGAGAGCTCTAGGTGAGAATTATTGAAGGGAGGGCAGATGGGGCTGTCCCTATTTGCTACCCAAACCACGGTGTTGGGCTTTATGTTTGTATACCATATACCAATAAAAAGCTTCTCACAATCACCTGGACAGAAGAAACCGAGTTCAAACTTCCCTTGTTTGGACACTAAAGTATTTGCTGCAGAGAAGGAAAGGATTTGTCCAGGCAACAAGTTGTCTGAACGCGTATTATTGCACCTAACTAAAGAAAGCAAGAGAACTAAACCAACCAATAATATCTTCATTCCCAAAATACCTTTTCTTGAAAAAGTATTGACAGGTCGAGGGAAAAGGTGAATTAACAATCAAACAAACATTCAAGTGTCCATAAATATATCATATGTAATCATCTCAGAGAAGAAGGAAAAAGAAAATTAGTCTTTGAAAATTCTACCAAAACATTAACATCACCAACCAATCAATCAAACACCCTAGTCAATATATTTGAAAATATCTGATTGATGAAAATGACATCAAACTGTAGTAGTGCATGCAATCATTCCACTAAAAAATAAGTACTGAGAATGTTGTGAACACGGATAGCTCAGATAATGCTTATCTGGGCAGAGGCTGGCTAAGATGTTGGGCCTAAGGTTTAACAACGAAGAGGTACTCAGCCCAACAAAAGATTTTCTGAGTAGGAATTACATGACTTGATTACTTGTTATAACTTATATCAGTATTTTCCATTGCAATTCAATAGTTTTAAAGTTGCAGTTGTAATTAGACTATAATTGATTATACAGTACTCAAGTATTTGTGTTGAGAATTCTGATTTATTAGAAATAACTAACTAAGAGTTCCAGCCATTCCCTTTGAATGCTCCTTCTAGATACTTGCTGCAATAATGGCTGGAAATTTTGGTACCGAAATAACCAACTTATGAAATAGGACTTTTGTTTGGTTATACTATTTTGTAGAAGAGGAAACAAGAACCTTTTTTTTTTTTTTTTTGTGAAAAGAAAAAATAAGCTTCTTATTGGTAGAAGATGGTATTCAAACTATTAAACTGATCAACAAATGGTGATTTACACCAAAACAGAAAGGAACCATAACAATCGATTTAGGAAGAAGAAGAAGAAGAAGGAGTTATGTGTTGAATTGTAGAAGATGCAAAACTACTATCTTCATGTATTGATTCTCATTTATATACAAGAGAATTGTAATCACATATCCAACAAATACAAAAGATATGAAATACAAAATGTGTGACTAACTAACTTTCAAAAATCTAACTAACTTGATGTGACATCCAACTAACACTCTAACTAACATAACTAACAAACTAATCATAATTATATTGTTAATACCCCTCCTCAAGTTGGCAGTGATGATCTTACAGCCAACTTGTTGAGTAATGCTGAATGTTTTTACTCCAGTAAGTGCCTTTGTGAGTATATCTGCTAGCTGCTCAGTGGTAGAGATGTGATGTAGTGAAATGAGCCCCTCCTGAAGTTTGCTGCGTACAAAGTGACAATCGACTTCAATATGCTTGGTTCTCTCATGGAAAACAGGATTGTGAGCTATGTGGATGGCAGACTGATTATCACAAAAGACAGGAATAGGTGAAGAATCAGATATAGTTAACTCCTTTGTCAACCTGTGAAGCCAAACCAGCTCACCTACTACCTTCCTGATGGATCTATATTCTGCTTCTGCAGAAGACAATGAAATGGTTTCTTGTTTCTTTGATTTACAGCTGATTGGGCTGTTCTCAAGTAGAACCAAATATCCACTAACTGCTCTTCTTGAGTCTGGACAGGATGCCCAGTCTGAATCACAATATGCTCTGATTGAGCAATCAGAATCTTTGGAAAGATGAAGGCCTAGAGTTGGATCCTGTTTCAAGTACCTAAGAAGATGAAATGCTGCCTGTAGATGTGAAGTTCTGGGATCTTGCATAAATTGGCTCAAGTGTTGAACACTGAATGCTATATCCAGTCTAGTGTTAGTAAGGAAATTCAATTTTCCTACTAGTTTTCTGTAGTATGTAGGATCAGGTAATGGAGTTCCTTCTTTGGCCCTTAGTTTGATGTTTGGATCAAGAGGAGATGTAAGTGAACTCTGACTATAACAATCATATTATTTTTAGTAAATCCAATACAAACTTTCTTTGGGAGACAAGTACCCCTCCTGGTATGTCAAGTATCTCCATCCCTAGAAAGTAATGCAATCGACCAAGATCTTTAATCTTAAAAGTATCATCCAAGTAGGCCTTTAACTGTGTAATCTCAGCAGTGTCTGTTCCTGTGAGAATAATATCATCAACATAGACGGCAACAAAGACAACTAAGGCACCAACCTTTCTATGGAAAAGTGAGTAATCATGATGAGAATGTACATATCCTCTGAGTGATAGAGCTTCAGTTAACTTGGCATACCATTGTCGACTAGCCTGTTTCAAACCATAAAGAGACTTGTTTAGCTTGCACACTAAGTTCAAGTCATCCACAGCAAGCCCTTGTGGTAGTTTCATGTATACTTCTTCATGGAGATCACCATGAAGGAAGGCATTGTTCACATCAAGCTGAGACATCTCCCAACCCCTTTTAACAGCACAAGCAATTAAGGTTCTTACAGTGGTCATTTTAACCACTGGAGAATAGGTCTCTGTATAATCCACACCAGCCTGTTGAGTATAGCCCTTAACTACTAGTCTTGCTTTAAACCTTTCAATGTTGCCATCAGACTTGTGCTTTACTTTATACACCCATCTACATCCAACTGCCTGTTTTCCTGCAGGTAACTTTACAAGATTCCAAGTATTATTTGCATAAAGTGCATCAAACTCTTGCACCATGGCATTTTGCCATGCAGAACTTAAGGCTGCCTCTTCATAAGATAAAGGCTCACTATCATGGCAAATGTTTTGAACCAGTGCTTGACTATTAGATGCAATATCATTGGGAGTAATGTGATGGTGTTTAGTGAACATGGTATTCAAAGAGAAGTTTTTATCAATGGGAATGGACTGTGTGGTAGGAATATGAGTCTTTAGGGTAGGAACTGAGTAGATGTAATCTTTCAAATGTGAAGGAATCTTGCTTTCTCTTTGTGATCTTCTGTGTGGTAATGTGGGGGGAGAATGTGATTGATTTCTGTTATGATATGGGGAACTAGGTGATAAGGTTGGAAAAGTAGGAAGCACATCTGTATTTTGATTTACCAAAGTGCTATCAAGCATTGAATCAATACAATCATCAAAAATATCTAAAGAAACAGTCCTGTTATATGTAGATTCTGTACTACGAATAGAAGGAAAAACACATTTATCTGAAGTTAATGTAAAAGGGAATAGATGTTCATGGAACACTACATCCCTAGACACATGTATCCTTTTTGTGGCAAGACTCATTACTTTGTATCCTTTTGTTCCAAAGGGGTAACCTACAAACACATGAGGAGTGGTTCTAGGTTGTAGTTTATCCCTCTGAACTTTGGGTAATGTTGGGTAGCACAAACAACCAAAAGATCTAAGTTTGTTGTAGTCTGGTTTTGTTTTGTATAGGATTTCATAAGGACATTTGTTCTTCAAATAGACTGAAGGAAATCTGTTTATAAGATGTGTTGTTGTAAGTATACATTCCCCCCAGTATTTTATGGGAAGTTTTGATTGAAATAGAAGGGCTCTTGCTGTCTCTAACAAGTACTTATGTTTTCTTTCCACTATACTGTTTTGTTGAGGTGTATATGGACAGCTCTTTTGATGAATTATACCTTTGGATTGAAAGAAGGATTTGGTTTCATTGTTATTAAACTCAAGTCCATTATCTGATCTAACAGTTTTGACTGTGGTTTGAAATTGATTCTCTATCATATTTACAAAGTTTTTGAGAACTTGTAAGGCATTGCTCTTGGTGCTTAACAGATGAGTCCGAGTTGATCTACTAAAATCATCTACTATGGTGATAAAATATCTGTAATTATCATGTGTATGTGTATTATAAGGACCCCATATATCAACATGAATAAGCTCAAAAATGGAATTAGAGTGTGTAACACTTTGGCTAAAAGGCAATCTTTCTTGTCTTGCCATAGGACAGATTGTACACATAAAAGGTTGCTTGTTTGAGAAATTGGCTGGGATGGTAGATATTTTCCTCATTTTCACAAAAGGCACATGGCCAAGTCTATTATGCCACAATAGGTCTACACTATGTTTAGTAGATATAGTATCAGAAGTAGAAGAACAGACAGTATGACTATTACATTTGTTGTTATCATGTAAAGTTTTGTTTGTGGCTTGACCATTATTGCTAGACAAAGAAGAATTGTGATTGTTGTGAGATATGCAACAGCATGTGGTGAAGTTAGCAGGGTTCTTCAGACATCTTGAACAAAGAAAATAGAGTCCTTCTCTGAAACTACCAAGCACCTGAGGCCTCTTCACTGAAGGGGCCTGCAGTAAATAAGAAACACTAGTAAACAGGACAACACTTCTCATTGAAAGAGTTAATGAGTGAACTGACACCAGATTGTATTTAAAAGAAGGCACATATAGCACATTGTGTAAAACAATTCCAGATGTGATTACTACATCTCCAAATTCTATCACCTTGACTTTGTATCCATTGGGTAAAGAGACAAGCATAGGGTAAGACATGGTTTGAACATTGGTAAGAGAAGATTTGTTAAAGGTTATATGGTTTGATGCTCCCGAATCAATGATCCATAGGTCAGCACTTGATTTAAAACATTCACATGAAGGATTGCCAAAATCAATAGATGAAGAACATATTATAGTACCTGCAAAGTTCACAGAACCAGCTTCCATGTTTGAGTTGTTCAAATCAGTTCCTTCAACTCAAAAATTCTGCAAAAGTTTCATCATGTTATCATATTGATCTTTAGTGAATGTAACCATTTGATTCTGATTATTCTGCATGCATTCTTCTCTTTGTGCAGATGCCACATTATCAGATGATCCATGAACATTGGCTACAACTCTCCTTCCTCTATATTCATTATTACTGTTCTGCCTTGCATGAGGTCCATTGTTCCTATTAGTCTGGCTAGGATATCCAATCAACTTATAGCATCTCTCCCTGACATGTCCTGTCTTTTTGCAATAACTACAAACCATAGCACTTCTATTGTTACTGTTAGCTGAAAAATGGTTGGATCCTCCATAATTGTTGTTACTTGTATTGCCAGAGCAGTTTTCACTAGAGAATGATGTTTTGTAGTTTCTTCTTGTTGATCCCTTTCCACTATTGTTAGAAGAGTTCACATTCAAGGAAATCGATTCCATAGGGGTTTGATTAGCAGGTTTAAACTCCCTTTGTTTCTCCTCTTGAATCATCTAGGAAAAGGCTTGTGCCATTGTTGGAAGAGGATTCATCATAAGAATGTTGCCTCTTATCACAGTATACACCTCATTCATCCCCATTAAGATTTGTATCAAGCGTCTGTCTTGTTCTGCTTTGTATAATCCATCTTTGGCTCCACAACTACAAGCACAAGAGCACTGATTTTTTACATTCAAAGTGCTCAATTCTTCCCAAAGCTTTTTCATCCTGTTGTAGTAGACTGTTATATCCAAATTTCCCTGTGTGAGATCATTAATCTCTTTTTGAATTTGATACAGCTTTGCTCCATTTGTTTGGTCATATCTATCTTCAAGTTCCTTCCAAAGTTCCACTGAATCACTAACATACTCTACACTATCTGCAATTTCCTTAGTAAGAGAGTTTAAAATCCAGGAAGTCACCATGTCATCGCATCTCTGCCATTGATGCAACTGATTTGAGCTTGCAGTTGGTTTAACACAACTACCATCAATGAATCCAAACTTGTTCTTTACTGACAAAGCTCGCATAACTCCCCTTCTCCAGGATCTATATCCTGTTCCATCGAATTGAGTTGGTACCAACACCATACCAGGGCTATCCGAAGGGTGTATGTAGAGAGTGTTGTGTGCATCATCATTAACAGAGGTTCCTTGTGCTGAAGGAGCACTTTCAGGTCTTGTCATGATGAAGGATCGACTGGATCACAGGAAAAACAATTAAACAAGAAGAATCAACAACAAATTCAAATCAAAAGTAGCAAGAACAGCCTTGCTCTGATACCATATTAAACTGATCAATAATGGTGATTTACACCAAAACAGAAAGGAACCATAATAATCGATTTAGGAAGAAGAAGAAGAAGAAGAAGGAGGAGGAGGAGGCATCGTATGTGTTGAATTGTAGAAGATGCAAAACTACTATCTTCATGTATTGATTCTCATTTATATACAAGAGAATTGTAATCACATATCCAACAAATACAAAAGATATGAAATACAAAATGTGTGACTAACTAACTTTCAAAAATCTAACTAACTTGATGTGACATCCAACTAACACTCTAACTAACATAACTAACAAACTAATCATAATTATATTGTTAATACAAACATAAAAGGGCAAAGCCGTGGTTTGACCACATATTCTATTCAAATTTCAAACATAAAGGATTTTTATCATCTTCGGAGAAGAAAAAATAATAGTACAAGAATTTAATAAACAAAGTGACGGTTCACCTTTGCTATCATAATTGAGTGAAAATAAAATAAAATTGAAAGATGAATTCCTTAGCACCAACCGAGCATCATTAGTTTCCTTGAAAATCCATTGTAAGGCATTTTGACGAATGAAAAGGCTGACTTGGTCCAAAAACAAAATTTCCAACAAGCAAGGCAAGTTCTAAGAAAATAATAGACAAGTCCGTAAGCTCGTCTGACTAGTCTAGAAAACGGGACATAGAAAACTTCCTTATGAATCACACTTTAATTTATGTCATTAACAAGCAATATTTGTGATAGAAGTTGAACTACAGGTAAAACAAAGATGGTACATATAGAGTTTCAAGATTTTCTGCCAATTATGGCGATAAAGCTATGCGGAGAGGGACTGATCAACGAGCTATGCAAAGGTTATCGGATGTTAATGGATGGTGAGAAAGGCGTGATCACAATTGATAGCTTAAAGAGGAACTCTAAGCTGATGGGATTGCAAGATTTTAGTGATGAAGAATTGAAGAACATGATTAGAGAAGGAGATATGAATGGTGATGGAGCTCTTGATAAGATTGAATTTTGTATTTTGATGTTTAGATTGAGTCCTGACTTGTTACTTGTGGCTCAACAATTGTTACATAAAGCTCATCAATAACAAAATAATACTGTCCACCTTTAAGGGATACTGTACTACTATCCCTGATTCATCATATTCATATGTAATGTTTCACTTCATTTGTCAATGTTAAACTTTTCTTCTTATCAAGTTAGTTTGCATACTATAATTCAATTAAATTTCACAGAGACGTTATTTTCTACCAAATATAGGTATTGCGTTAATAGCTTTATCCAACAAAGGACAAATAAAAAAAATCACCTACGATATTTTTATCACCCCAGAATTTTCAACCCTCTCCATTAGCCTAGCGGCCAAACTTAAGAACATATTTGGACCAAAAGAGGTATCAGTGAACCAAACTTTAAATGGAGGGTATATCTAAACCTTTTCTAATAGTTTAGGGGTATATTTGACCCTTTTCCCTTTAAAATATAATTGTCAAAATACCAACTTAGCTATATAATAAAACTAATTACTCAACTTTCATTAAATATCCCAAAAATATTCTAGGCCAAAGACCAATAAAAGCTAGGCTAGAAATCACCCTAAACAATTTTTTCCCCTCTCAAGTAAAATAAAAAATAAACCTAAGTTTGGAGCAAAGGTAGGTGTTTTACGAGACAATATTGGGTTATGGTATTCATTTGGATAAAGTTTAGAAATATTTTCGCCTCATGTCATTAAAAATATTTAATATTTTTTATGAAGTTTCAACTTAAAATAAATATTGGCTGTTGTTTTTATTCATTTGCTCTGCCCTCCCATCCTTCAAAATAAAGTTGAAATATTTCTTATAGGATTAGAACAAGTAGGGACTGGACAAACGGAACTTGAGATTTAGCTTCTTCATTCTCAGGTAGTCCTTTGTTGTATTTTTAAGAAAGGTAACAAAGTACTTGCGAACGGATTATTTATTATTGCTATAAACTTTGATTCTATGATTCACTAACCTTTAGCTCTGCTGTTTGCCATTGTTGTAATCATCAAGTTATAAACATAATTAATGCACTGTTGGTTGCACTTGTACTGTATCGACAGTCTGGTAACTTATGCACACAACCTGTTTGATTATTTGCTCATTAGACTTTTATCCCTCTATGCTTCAAATAGGTAACCTTTTAACTGTAGCCAGAAGCAGACTTAGGATGTTAAGCCCGTCCATGGTGGAGTACCACCCATCTATACCACTATTTAGTGTCGGTGGGTGACAATGCTGACTTAGTTCAATACATTTTTGTAAAAGTGGGCTAGTAGTACTGTGCTCAACAATTCAACATCAATGTTATGGCTTCTACAGTTGACTTTGTTTAACTACATTTTGAATGTTATGCTAGTCTTTTTCTGTTTGTCTTTTAGTTATGTACATAAGAATATGGAGTGGATGTTTTCTATTTTGTGTTTTGTAGAAAGGAGTTTGATAAAATCTGTTCTTAATTTTGATTGGTGTTATCGACAGGTTTTTTATATTAGGAGTTATCCCTAATAGAGATTTTGATTTTCCAGGCGAAGTAGTTAAGCGAGGGAAGATGGTCATCCATTCTGCATTAAATCTTAACTTTTGTGCTATTTCATCACTCTCTGCACTCAAAGCAGGGCAACATTGTAGTTCTTGCTCTTTTTCTAACTTCCTATTGCCGCCTCCTTTGAAACGTTTGACTTGCTTTGCCACTTCAAAAAAGTCTGAAGAGGAACATGTGTCTGATCCTAAGAATAACTCTGGTTCAAGGTCTAGAAAAGCTATAAGGTCCCGGGAAAGTAAAGTAACTCATAACGAAGACAAAGATTCTGCCAAGATCTTCCCATCAACAATCCCTAAAAAGCCAAGGCGTGGTCGCAGGAGCGAAGCAGCTGCAGTTGAGGATTTTGTTCGTGATTCATTAGAAAAGACATTTGCCTCTATCCGAGAGCAGAACTCTGATATGATGAAAGATACCGAGAATATCCTCAAAGATAGGGTTGATGATGACACTGAGTCTGATGAAAGTAGTGATGATGAAGATGACAGCAGTAGGGATAAGAAAGAAAAGAAAATGATCATTGAGGAGGAGGATCCAAATTGGCCTCTGGATGCAGACGTTGGATGGGGAATTAGAGCATCAGAGTATTTTGACAAGCATCCAATAAAAAATGTTATAGGAGAAGATGGAGTTGAGATCGATTGGGAGGGGGAGATTGATGATTGCTGGGTGAAGGAAATCAATTGTCTTGAGTGGGAGAGCTTCGCTTTTCATCCCAGTCCCCTCATTGTACTTGTTTTTGAGAGATACAATCGGCAAGTGGATCTTGTTTTGTTTACAAATTGAAGTCCTAAAGGATATATTCTATAAGCAATATGCAAGTCTTTTATGTTCTCTGAGACAATTGCTAATTGCACAGGGCTAGTGACAACTGGAAAGCTCTTAAGGAGCTGGAGAAAGCAGCCAAGGTGTATTGGAGTGCCAAAGAGCGCTTGCCTCCTCGGGTTTGTGAAACATAATCACTTCTCCTTACATTGTGCATTAGTAAACCCTCTTATCTTACATTTCCCCTAATTACTTGGTGTAGACTGTGAAGATTGACATTAATATTGAGAGGGATCTAGCCTATGCGCTTAAAGTCAAAGAAAGTCCACAGATATTGTTCTTACGAGGAAACAGGATACTATACAGGGAAAAAGGTACTCTTTATATATCCCCTCACTAGTTTGATAAAGTAATTGTAATCTTTTCAGCTAAATTCATTGTTATGTTGAATGATTGTTTACTTTGCAACTCCGGATAAATTTGTGCAGAAATTCGTACAGCTGATGACTTGGTTCAAATGATAGCATATTTTTACTACAATGCGAAAAAACCTTCATGCATTGATGATGCAGCTTTATCTCAACAGTCTTAGTCAACGGAGGTACTGATGCTGACTTGTCTAGGCTTTCATTGAAGCTCATAGATTAATGTCACTAAAAATATTTGAACTTCTAGCACGTCGCAGATTAAGAAAGAGGCAGTGGAGCATGGATCTATCCCTGTATAACTGGAACCAATTGTGGTCGTTTTGTCACTGGAAAACAATTGACCAATTGAGGGCAGAACCTTAGAAGAATGACTGGTTGAAACGAGATCATGGTACTGCTCGCTTGATGCTTGCAGGTGCTGATGTAATTAGCAAGTGGAAGGTTGAAGAAAAAGGTTATATCCTATAATGTGCTTAAATTAGTGCCACATTTATTACTATATAGAAGAGGATAGTTGGAAAGAGAACACTCAGTTGCATGATCTTACTTTAGTTCTATTTGCTTGTTTACATATCATACTAGCCCTAGATGTCTATAAATTACTTTCTGTATTTAATTAGAAAAGTTCATGCATCTTCTGTTACTTGTATCTTGACCTTGCTGGCTATAACTAAATTAGAGTTATTGTTTTCGGGGGAGACGTATGTCACGCTAGGTACGGAACTTTTTTCCATTAATACTAACCTAGATAGATATGAATGGATAATGTATATACCTTGCTTTATTCCATCTTAAGATAAGAAATTAAAGTTAAGATCAGATAAACAAGACACTGTATGTCCATTGGATGGGTTAACTGTGTGTGCTTTTATCTGTTTTAGGTTATATTCAGACACTAAAGTGCTTTCCTTTGAAAAGTTTTGGATACCACATTATCAGGAATATGCCCTGATTAAACATATGTTAAATCACTCAACATCAAACCTAACTAGGACCATTTGTAGATAATACAGTTTAACAAAACCTGAACTCTGAATAGACTCAACTAACAAACTTTCACCTAATTGACCTCTTAAATATGCGGTGATCTTGTTTATCTACTTAATTCTTGGTGGGTGAAGTCTGACGATATTGTGGTGGGAGGTGACAGATATTTGATGATACTCTCTCAATTTTAATTTGTTTTGTTTTTTCTACTTTCTTTCATAGTCCATTTCAACATATGTTTAATTTCGATGGCATATTTAAGGCTACAAGGTTAAAAGTTATTTTCGTATATTCTTCACATGTGTAATTTAAGACCGCAAGATTTAAAAAGCTTCTTTACTTTCTTAAATTTTATCTTGTAGGATCTGCACAGCTTCCCTTGTTAGTTGTTATGTTTTCTTATCCTTTGTACTTGAATTTGCTACCCTTGATTCGAGGGTCTTTTAAAAACATTTTTACCTCCACGTGATAGTAATAAAATTTGTACAAGTTTTATTCTCTTCAAACCTCATTTGTGAGATTTACTGAGTATATTATTATTATTTTACCTTGTTAAATTAAAAGAGATGAAGTATAACGAAGGAGTTGGCTAGAACACCAATCTAGAAAAAGTTCCACGCCCTTCCGAAGAACCTATTGTATGGTGGGACAAATAAAACCATTTAATTGATCAATAATTTTATAAGTAACATTTATTAAGTTGTGATGATAGGAATATACTGTAAAACGATCCAGACATTTGGCAAATATGAGAGGTTGTCACGAAGGCTTTAATTTTGTCATAACGGAAAATTTACAATTTAAAAGAGGTCCCATTTACCAACCTATGTCATTCTCAATTTTCTTAATTCCAACATCCATTCACTTATTTATTCTTGTCGTTTGCTTTTATGATTATCACAGCTATCGAAAATAGGCGTATATACCCTTTTATATAGTTGGAAATTATTGCATGCTAAGTATTAATAATTTATTAAGTGAGAATGAAAATAGCATCTTATATCAAGGATCGAAAAAGATAAAATGGATTGAGATTAGAAAAAGTAAAAATTTTATCAGTAATATTTTATACTATTAATTAATCAAGTTAATTAACTTGGAACGTATATACTATAAATCTCTCATCGCAGGATCACGAAATTCACGTGGTAAAAGAAACATTCAACTCTTTATATTGACGTGTTTTTATGTTATTGGATTTTAATGCTTTCTATAAAAAATTTAATTTGCATATTTAAGTGAGTTGACTTGTAACAGTTCCACTTCCACCGCTAGGGGTAAATCAGTAAATGAATATAATTTTCATAACGGTTACACTTTCTCGTGACTACAGACCGATATATTAATCAGGGGACCGTTAAGATAGCACCCTACTAAATTTTACTTCCAAAAATACCCCTTTTCATTAAACTGCGATTTTTTGAAATTTTGTTAACCAATGAAAAGATATTGAGTTTATTTTTAGGAATAACTTATAAGATTCAATTTCCTTTTTTAAGAGAAAAAGTGACCGACAAATCTTTTTGGATTAATTTAGCTTGAGAGTCCCAAACGGCAAATATCAGACTTGTCACTATCTAGCAAATTACTATATGTTTTTTTTCCTAATTATTATTTTCACCTACCCATTTTGAGATAATGTATTACGATTATTCAAGATATGATGTGAGTTAATATATTACTATTATTGATGTCATTTTCAAGGAGAATAATGTCATTTTACATAGTGATGCATGTCACAAGCTGAGCTCTTCAACCTCACAAGTGTACACCTTTTACTTGACCTAAACCTCATAAACCCTCTCTTACCTCCACACACACACTCTTCTATATCTGTAGATAGATAGATACGTATAGAAAGAGAATCTAGAGAGAGAAAACAGAAACCCATTTCCCAGAAAGAACACAAAAATAGAAATGGCAACTTCAACCCAGTTCCCGGACGATTTTCGGTGCCCGATTTCCCTTGAAATTATGTCCGACCCGGTTATTCTGTCGTCGGGTCACACCTTCGACCGCTCTTCAATCCAACGGTGGGTAGACTCCGGCCACCGGACTTGCCCGATTACCAAGCTACCCATTTCCGACCCGGTTTCTCTCATCCCTAATCATGCCCTTCGGAGTCTCATTTCCAATTATACCCTCGTCTCTTTCCCCAAACCACTCACATACCCTGAACCGCAGTCCCTTATTCAAACCCTTATTGCTTCTTCTTCTTCTAATTTGGATTCTAAGCTCCACTCGCTTGACCAACTCAGTAAGCTTTCCAAGCGTGATTTGGCGATCCGAAGGAAACTCACCGAGTCGGGCGCTGTATCTGCTCTTCTCAATTGCGTTAACTCGGATGATGACTCGGGTGGTTTGCAGGAGAAAGCGCTTCATTTGTTGTTGAATTTGAGCTTGGATGATGATAACAAAGTGGGGTTGGTGGCAGAAGGGGTTGTGGGGAAAGTGGTCTCCTCTTTACGAAGAGGTGCTGGAGACTCGAGGGCGGTGGCGGCCACGGTTTTGACGAGTTTAGCGGTGGTGGAAGTGAATAAGGCAACCATTGGGGCATACCCAGATGCAATTCCAGGGTTAATTTCGCTGCTTTGGGGTGGCAGCGGTAGAGAGAGAAAGGAAGCTGCTACTGCTCTCTACACGCTGTGCTCTTTCCCGGATAATCGGGTTCGGGCCGTGCAGAACCAGGCTGTTCCAGTACTAATTAAGAATGCTAATTTAGGCCTAGAAAGATCAGTTGAGGTATTGGGATTATTAGCAAAATGTAAAGAGGGTCGTTATGAAATGTTTAAATACTGTGGGTTGTTGGATATTTTGATAAAATTCTTGAAAAATGGGTCTTCAAGAGCTGTGCAATATGGTCTTTTGACTATCAGCTTGCTGTGTAGTTACAGTGAAAGGATGCGTGTGTTGGCTGTAAGAGAAGGGGTGTTTGAGATTTCTGTTGGGTTATTACAAGATGATAATGAGAAAGTGAGAAGAAATGCTAATAGCTTGATTCAGGTTTTACAAGGGCAAACATTAAGTCTTTGAGATATGAATTTGGAAAGTGTTGATTTTGAATGGATTATTGGAAGCTTTGGAGGGTGAAGAAGAAGAAGGTGAGTTTTTAGGCTTCCTCATAATTATTTTTGTTGAATAGTTTTTCTTTGTACAAAAAGATTAGAATTTTAGGGCAAAAAATGTGCATCTCTCTTTTTCTCTATCAAAATCTCTTTTGTTTTTTTGGTTTTATATTATCAACATAAGAATAAGAATGAAAAGACAAACATCAATGGTTCTTTCACTGTCTCATCATGAGTTCTGTTTGATGTAAAATTAAAAATCCAATCTTTCCTTACAGTAGTAGTAAAAGAATGATCAATGAGAGCCTATGTATAAAGAGTAAGCAAATACAATAGTGTCCAAGATATAATCTACAAAGTAATTAGGCATGATACTAAGAAAGGGTGATGAGTAATGAAAGATTTGTGATCCACATTGGTATTCTTGCTTAAAGATTTCATTTTGTGCATGGAAGGAGGAAGTACATGATTGGTTTTTAGAGTTTCCACATTACATATCAAGACTGAGACTATTGCTACTTCATCAATTTTCACCTGTAATTTGCGCCAAACACAACACTTTGTTCTCCTAATTGTTCTCCTAATTCAGAATTTTGGGTTTATGAGTTCGAGATTCCAGATAAACCGGCTCATTGGCTTTGCACAAACATCAACATGTGTGCAAAAGTTGTGTGAGTTGTCAAATGTAGTTAGTTAGTTAGAGCAATGTAAACTAATTTTCACATGTTTTGTGTGCTGTTGGTATGTAATTTGGGGAACTGGATATTTGACAACTCCAGACGTAAGTTTTTAGCTTTGCAGAATAAAAAAGAGAGAAACGATAAATGGACACACAGTTGAATGGGACCAAATAGTATTTTCAATTTGGATTACATTCATTATAAGAATGAATGAACCTTCCATTCATACCTATCCTTGTTAAATTTTTAATTTACTATTAGGGAAGAATCTTATATCGAGGTTTGAATATAAAACAAATTAAAGTTAGAAAATCTTAGGTGACCATACCCCCCCGCACGCTTAGCATTTAGATTCCTCTACCTCTAGTGAATTAAATTAAATACACCACAATTTCAACGCTCTATTTTGGTCGCAACCAAACAAGCCACAATGTCATCACATTAAATTAAATTAATAAATGTCGTGTATATATTTTCTATGTAAAATTTTACTTCTTTTTTTTCTCATTCACATTATGAAGCTTTTGTTCTTTCTTTTTTTCTTGTGGACATATAATTCAATTCAACGACAGTTACATGTAAGATTCATTTCTGGTCCTTCCTAAGAAGGTGCCAAATCCTATATGGCTTTTTGCTTCATTTCTCTCGTCAGTCGTCAACGTCATTTAATTACACAATTTTCCCTTCAAATTGGTTGATCATTAATTTTATTTTTTAAAAAGAATTGATCATTAATGTTGCCCCTTCAAAAAGTCAAACTTAAAACCCGGGGACATTAAGTATTTTAAGAGCATCACACATAATTTGTGATATATGTTATGATACGAAAATACAATTCATGTATATGAAAAAGTTACTAGTAACAGTCAAAAATTAATGACTGAACACTAAGTGCCCGTTTCAATAGACTTATTTTAAGTGCATTTAAGTAAAAACAGCTTTTAAGCAGTTTTGAAGTGTTTGGGTGAAGTTAGAAAGTGTTTATAAGCATTTATTTCAAAGCTAAAATAACAACAATAAGTCAAAAATCATCAGTTTGAAATCATAATTTATTATTTTCGGCTTATAAGTCATAAGTCTAGACCAATCCAAACGGGTCCTAAATAAGGCAAAAGCACAAACAACCCATTTAAGGGGGGGTACACTATCTCATGGGCCTGGGCTTTATATTGTGGATTGACAAGTTTGTAACCAGCCCAGCAAAATAATCTACATTTGGATCAGCAATCAACTTGAGATAAATATTTGTTGCACATGGAGGCTCGTTTGAACAATATCTTGTGGTATATTTTATACTGATTATTACTCAAAATGCATAAAAATGTAGTTTTGAATATACTACTATCTCTAGATTATAATTGATTATTTCATGTACTCATATTATTTTATCTCGTATGATAAATTTAAATAATTTGGGATAAATTTCTAGTACAAGTACAACTTTACCTGTTATTGTCCCTAAAACGAAAGCACATTCTACGTCATGGGAAACATAAATCATTCTAAAGTTACTAGTGTGATGGTCATCATTAAATTAGATGCTGAGGAAATCAGTGACCGCGAAAATACAATGAATAAAATCTAAGAAAAATACTTTATTGATTAATAAAGTAAAGAAGATTTTTGAATTTTATGGTCTTAAATTAAAGAAACGTAGAAGATATCAAAATATTCTTTAATCTTGTGATTTTAAACATGTCAGAAAAAAATTGAAATTAATTAAATAGTTTGTAACAAAAAGAAAGATATTTATTTCTAAACAGATTTAAAAAAACCGACAAATTAAAACCAAGGAAGTAGTAAGTGATGAGTCATGCTTGGTGGACCATAGTTTGAGCTTAAAAAATTGACTTAGATGGTGAACTTAATCAAATGAACAAATGGTATAGTGTGGATATGTTATAGAAAAAGTAGTGTTTCTATAATATTGTAGTAAAGTAGCAGTAACAGGGTGTAGTGGTAGATTCAAAAAGGAATAGGAAGGTGACATGATGTAGCCCTCGTAAAAGCCAACATTCAACTAAAAGATGGGACGAATGTCATAATTATCTTCAACTACTTCATATGTGCTATTAATAAAGTGGTCTAATTAATTACATAGACATTCTTGTGCTATACTACTATTCATATATTACTGTATGTATATGTACTACTTCATAAACAAGCAAGCCTATCACAGGCCAAATGATTTTAACCTCATGCCTTCACGACATCCTTCAGCCACAATACACTACTACCCATGCTAAGAAAACAAACAATTTCATTGGGATTTTGATTTATCTAGTAGACTCGTTTTAGCTTTAATGTGTCTAGGGGGACTATGATTGATCAAATTACTATTTTGTGAATTTAATAGAATTCAGTATTTCGAGTTTTCAAATGTTAAATATTGCAAGTGTGAAAAATAACTATGAATAAAGTTAGATATATTAACTTTTTGATTATTTAGAATTCCTAACGTCTAAATTCAGTATATATCTTCTAACATAACATAGTTGTATTTCTAGCCTCTAGGTATGAATTGACATATAAGATCTTTAATTTTTGCTAATTGTGATTGTGACTGAAGCCTTGAAAATCAACATTATTTTGTTAAGAGAAATAAGAACATATATAATGAAGACTTAGGCGTAAAGGGCCGACCAATAAGAAAGAGACGTGTCCATATATAATACTGTTGAAACTTAATCCCGATCGAATATAATGATTAATTAGCTATGATGCATGTTTATTAAGTTCATATTATACTAATAATTGTCATATATCATGAAAAAGCAGAACAAAAAAATGATGAAAACTTAGATAAATAGAATGAAGTAAATTAAGCAAAGATGATCACGCTTCAAAGAAAAAGTATATTGTTCAATATACAAATAATTGTTTTACTCTGACGACTCGATCTCGTTCTAATTAAGTTCAGGGGTTGAGTGTATACTCTGTCCATGACCAAATTCATTGAGATTTGCTCGTAGCTTTGAGTCTTGAACAATATATTAATTTAAAAAATTAAAGAAACAGATATATACGTCTTACGAAAATAATCGTTTGAGATGTATATTCTATGTGACAAATCGCATGAAAATTATCATATAGGATGACTAAGTCTACTTATTCAAGTATGAATTTTAAGTGCTTACTTATGCACATATGAAATTGAAAAAATAAAAGTCATCTAAGACCAAGTTAAAAAGCACAACAAGAATTTAGTACATTACAATGACGAGTCTCATGTTGTGATACACACATATGGGACAATTTTTTTGTATTATAACTATGACGAATAAGATCGATAAATAAAAATTTCACTTAAAAAGACAGGTTGGTATACAAAAATTTTTGTTATGTGTGGAACCTGGAAAAAGCATAAACGTAATGTTCTTTACAACCTTATCCTATATTTATACAAAATGTTATATCCATGGCTTGAATCTGCTATCTTTTGATCATATGATAACTTTATCAATTACGTTAAGACTCTCGTTCGATTAACATCGTGAAGTTTTTGAATTAGTAATTGGAAATTAATGGAGAGTAGTAATGTGGTGTGCAGACTCACATATTGGATCTAGAGCTGGTTATTTATTGATATGGTTCAGTTTATCGATTATTCTTTAAAAATAAAAAATTATGTATTGATAGTTAATAAGATAGGTGATTTTTAAAATATGAAATTAAGTAATTTCCCTAAGTAAATTAATTTTTGGAGTTGACTTATACTCGGAGATTTAATTTCTTTTACATAAAACACACAAAACTTAACTCGCTTCCTCATTAAATTGTCACACTCAAGCTATAGATGTTCAAGTCTAAACGCAAGATGAGGTATAGAAGAATAAATATTTCACAATGATGATTTTTATGACTCGCATATTTCTACTTATCTATTGTGGATAAGTGATTTAAAAAATGTAGAAACTTATTAGGGGTAAAAGAGTAAATTTAACAAATCTTTTTGGGCTTATCTGTTGAATTATTAGGAAAAATCAAAGAATTCAACCGTTAATTGAATTACGAAGACAATAGCATAGGATACAAAATCATTTTGAGATGGCTAATCCAGTATAAATGATAATTCAATAACAGTTTTTCGAATCATGAGTTTATCATTCAGTAAAATCAAAATCTACACCCCACCCCCTAATTGGATACTCCAGTGCACCTTTATTTGTTTTTTAAGTTTTATTTTTCTATTTATTCCTATAAATTTAAAAATAATTTACATTCTCTATTTTACCTTTCAAATAAATTTCACTCCGCGATTAAATATAAGTCCAAATATATCCCTTATCCTAACAAAAGTCACAAGGATAAATTCACGTTAAATTCCGAAATAACCTGCCGTCAATCACCTTATCGTCTCTATAGTACTCTAGTCAATTAGTCCAACTAAATTCATGTTTTAAATACTAAACCATGTACCATAAAATGGGTCTTTCTGATTTTAGTAATTGAAAATGACACATGCACTGATACGTGGTACAACTAAATTCAACAAAATAGTTTGCAAAAAACTATACGTGGAAACCAACTTTATGATTTATAACTCGTCGTCAAAATTCGGTAAGTGTCAAGTCTTTTCTCATTTGAGATTAATTAGGAGCATATAGTAGATATTTACATACATAATTTTAAGATATCCTAAAAAAAGAACAACTTAATTGTTAATTTCACATTATGTTTTTTGAAAATTGTTCGAAATTATGAATTTATTGGCGTGTATCTATGTTTACCGCTTATTAATAACTACTTTTTAAATTTACCTAAAAAAAAGTGATTTTTATCTTAGCGGTGTATTTCTGGGTGTAAAATAGTTATGTGCCAATTCTTAAGTCACAATCTATTTTTAAAAATGCATTGATTTATAATCAATAATACAATATTAAACTATTTGCACTACGCCTTGTTATTTATATTGAGGTAAACGGAGTAATTGTCTTGTATCGCATTCTTTGAGAATGAAGAATTTAAGTTACTGTAATACTCGATATATGAAGTTTTTCTCAAGTAGTCGTTTAATAATAAGTCTCTGTTCATACTTATATGTCATTATTTTAGATTTGATGTTTCTTAACAAACTAGGTAAGCTATCATTGTATCCTTATTTAGTATTCTCTTGAAGTCAGGTTTTCAATTAATGAATATAAATTAATTTATTTTGAATAATTAATTTGATCAATAAATATAAATTAATTAATCAAATTTTCTATATTGATCAAATTTATATTTTTGATGGTTAAATCTCAAGGGTAAAAATTAAAATAGAAAAAATAGTATTATTTATATATTAATTTTGTAAAATGACAAATATTATAAAATATCTATTTTTAATTATGACGACATATTACGAATATTAATAAGAACGGAGGGAGGGGTATGTCATGTGACAGAAAATGGACATCATGGTGATGCATGAATGAACTCAGTAGAATTTGTAAAAGCTAACAAAAATATGGTTTGAAGGGGTCGTCAATTGTAGAATTTTATAAAGTTGCATGCATGTTTACGTCTCTCCTCTTTATAGAAAATTCATTTAGGACTTCTCTAGATTTACTCATAAAAATTACAATATATATAGTCAATCAGATCATATGAGTAATAATTTCGTCACTCTTACGCAGATGATTATTTAACATTGAGAAATTGTTTTAATTAGGTGAATTTATTGTTTGACTTTATTTATTTTTTTTAAAAATTGTTTCTTTAATAAATTAAAGAAACACGCTAGAAGTAGTCCCGTACAAGTTACAGCTTCAGAAAGCTCATTGGTTCCTCAGCGTAACAAAATTTATTTATGAAATCATAACTACCTAGTTTAATGAATTGACATATAGTATAATTTAACTTATGAGAAACAATAAAGAAAAATTATATCAATTTTATCGTACACTGGAAATTAATTTTAAAATGGCAATTGACAAATTGAGATTTGATTTATTTTTTAGCGTATTTTAATTCAAATAACTTTTTAATGACTTAATAACTTTATAACTATCTCATTTTTTATGTCCCATATCAAACATCAGACGTACTTATTTGACACTCCTAAGACCATCTTTAATTCAAACCAAATTTTACTTCAAATTTTATATCTGGTGTGAAATTTAGTGTTTTTATATTTCAACTTACACCAATTTTTATATCAAATTTGATGTGGGAATAGTGTTACAACAAATTTGGTATAACCCTATTAATTACATCAAATCACTTTTTGAATATTTCAATAATATTTTACTATACAAACTTTTAATTAAACATCATATAAATGGTATATTTTTATTAAATTTCTTGTATATTTAATTATTTTTTATGTAATACTTTTATAACATTAATTTTATATATACAAAAGTTAGCTTTTTTATGAATCAATTTTTTTATATATGACTTTTTTTAAAAAAAAAATAAATTATGTTAATTCTACCTTAATTATGATTGGATATAAAAGGAAATCATTTATATTATATATAATGAATGTTTTAGATTGAATTTGTTTTATAAAATAAAAAAATATAAATGAAATAAGAAATAATAATATAATAATGAGAGGAAAAATATTTTTTTTTGTTTAAAATTTATTGCAGTGCATTGGAATTAATTATACAAAAAATAATACTGACCATTAAATTTAATATATAATTTAATGTTTTGTGTTGGAGATACCTTAAATCCTAACGATGATTAATATAGACCATCAACATAAGAGTTTTCAATTTTAAAATTTGCTCCCACGAAAAACTAGGTTCATTTAGAGAGAACACTTGATCATGTCAATTAAACAATTGTTTTCGAACTAACACATGAACAGTTAAAGACAATAAATAAATTATTATTATTAAAAAATAATGATAAAATACTTCTCAAAGGCCGCCTCCAATGTATCCAGACTGAATTAGGACGTCTTTGAACATGTTAAATTGCTAAAATATTTGTTTATTTACGTCAATTTTGATATCTCTCCGTATATTCTAGAATTTGTCAAATTAACTTGAGGTTTGACATGCATCTACTCTTTTGACTGCATTTTTAGTACATGTGTATGATGTATATATTTCTTTCGTAAATTTTAAATTTTTATGATAAAAATTTATTCACGCTTGATATTTATATGAGATCAAAAATTATTTGTGATTAATTTTTTCTAAAAATTATCTGATTTCTTCTCTAGTTGATCATCTTTTAATTTACCATCCGTAGAGTTCAAATGATTATAAAAATATCACATCAAATATTCAGAATCTGCATATAATTAATTCAGATCATGTAATATATTTCTTTGCTTTTTAAAAAAAGAATGGTCCATAGAATAATGTTAAAAAGGGTATGACCACTTAGAAATATTGATCCAGATTGATTTACCAGTATATGTGCTGGCATACACGAAGCTACATTTTTTTTCCCACTCTGGTCGGTCCAAAAAAAAATATCACATTTCTTTTTATATATAAGTATATAAAGGTGTAATTTCTCTTTTATCTTTATTGGTCTCATTTAATTTTTAATAGTATTTTAATATATTTATGAGGAGAGAAAAAAGTGAGTCTACTTTTGAAGAATAATTTAGTAAACAATTTAAAATCTTTATTTATTTCTCAAACTCTGTATCATATCAAATGGTGGCACATAAAATGAAACGGAGAGAAACAGAGAGAATATTTAATATCATGTCATTAATTCTCTGTAATCTCTTCAATTTGATTCAACTTCCTTGGTTTTTTTCTCTCTTTTCAAGAGTTAATCTTCAGTCATAAAAGGTGAACTATAATATCTCATTAATTATATAAAAATTAATTCTATAGCATAGAACAACATATTATGTCTCCTTTCAGAAATGAATGATGCTACTATTCGATGAATCAAATATTTTCCCTTTATTTATGATTATTATAGCAAAAAAAATATATGCATTTTATGTTAGAAATATTACGAAATTTTTTAATTGACATTGACAATTAAATGTCAATTGTACTCCGAACTATAAACAATCTCTTTCGGACTAAGAATGTATTTTCTTTAAATGTGGCAAGTAAGGTCTTACAAGCTAAAAACTCTAATGAGCACTACATAAAAATAGAAAATGAGTAAAAGGCCCACGTTAGCAAGAAAATATATGGATATTTATTGGATCTAAATTTTTATACGAATAATATAATATATTTTTATCATATCACACTATTAATAGTCAATTCCGTATGAATTTACTTAGTATTCATAAATTATTAACCTAAATTAAACTTTTTATTTGATATTTGACATATATATATTAGAGTTCAATTAATTTAATTTTGTGCCAGTCTCAATTCGGATAGATACTCATACTCCCTATCAAAAAAATTTCATACGCACAATTCAGACCTGAATTTTGATTAAGAAAACAACAACCTCCTCCATTGTTCTATAATATTCTTTTAATGGCAATAACCTAAAATAGATAATAAGTAACTCAACATAAATTATCTATCTATAGAATTGCATTTATTTATTTATTTTTATTGGCAAGTAATCCAAACATTTTAGTAGTATTTCTTTTATTTTACTCGGATCCTTTCTTGTAAAGACTGTAATGTGAATAAAATAGCAAAAAGGCACCAATACCAGCTGTGCACGAAGCTGTATTTTCTGTTACTTTTTTTTTCCTCTTATTTTTCCCCCTCAATAATGAAGAATAAGAAATTGAACTAATAATATTAAAAACAAAGAAATAATAATAAATTTTAAAAAGTATAATTATTACGATAATGATGATGAGCGTGACATCAACCACCCTATTAACATATCAAATAAATGAGTGATCAAATGACATAATTACCCCTAATTAATTTAGATAAACCTGAGATAGCCCTCTAATTAACCAAAATTGAAAATGGTCAACTCTTGATTTTGGGATTATTTGGGTTCCCCCACTATATAAGCAGCAATGGCCTCCCCACTCTCTTCCCATTCAATTCCATCACCATTCTCTTTCTTTTCTATTCTATTCCAACAACAACTCATTCATCCACCTACTACTTTCCCTTTCAAATGGCAACCAAAGTCTACATTGTGTAAGTACTCTATCTTTTTCTACATTTATATCTTTCTTGTTTTTTTTTTTTTATATATGTTTTGAGTTTGGGGTTCTCTGTTTTGATGTTTAGAGTGAAATGATTGTGGGTATGATTTATTTTTTGTTAATTTGATTCTGGGCTGATAGATTCTTGGTTCTTGATTTTTGCCATGTCTGTGTAAAGACTCTGTCTTTATGTACTGTTCTTATTATATAAATGGGAATATGGTCCTAAGTCTCTGCAAGATTCGTTTTCCAATGATTAATTGAAGAGATTGTGTGGGAAGGTACCAGTTGTTTCCAGTTTTTGTTGGGTTGATCTAAAGGTAGTTTATTGGAAGATTGTTATGAAAATGATATAGCCAATTAATTGTTACAGGCGTTGTTGGTTAGGTATTCTTTTTTGTCTTTTTATGAAAAAATGACATTCTTGAAATTAAAAAAATAATATGCTTCTACAAGTGTTTGTTGTCTTGATCTAAGATAGGAAAATATTTGCTTACTAAAAGGTTTTTATGAAAAATGATTTACCAACTAATTCACTGGGAATTGGTCAGTTGCTCTATTGCTAGTCTTTATGAGATGACATTCTTGAAATTGAATAATATTAACTTGAAGTTCCAAGATGGAGTTGTCGATATTACCATTGGTGCTAAATGATTTTGTTGATTAGAATCAACTATCATATAAATTTATGGCCTGAACTCCATAGTCTTTTCAAGATTCCTATTGGTAAAAGAAAATCTAAAAATTTCCAGAACATGTCTCATTGGATGATTTGTGTTTTATTGAGAACTAAGTTCTGGCTTGTGCCATCTTTTGTTCCTGTTTTATCTCTAGAAGACTTCTGTGAAGCTGGATTCTAGTGCCTGATGTCCTCATCCGGAATGTATTTGGTTTTATTTTACTGGATATCTTGCGACTGTTCCAATCTGATCTGTGATTCTTATCCAATTTATAGTCAACTTTTGTGTGTTTCATTTGTGTATCTGATGCTGTGAAGTCTTATAAACCCCCCAAAAATTGTCTCCAAAAGTAGAATGGTTTGTATGATCTATTTGATCTTTATGCTTGGGGCTTGTAAAGCTAATGGTGAAAAGTATAAATGAATGCAGTTACTACTCCATGTATGGACATGTTGAGAAGCTAGCACAAGAGATAAAGAAAGGAGCCGCATCAGTTGAAGGCGTAGAAGCCAAACTATGGCAGGTCTGTTTACATTTCATTTTGAGTTGTTATTAATGTGAATGTGTTAGAGAATTTGGTATCCCTGAGAATTGAAGAAATTATGTGAGTTTGACTTTGCCAACGGAATGTCTCCTAAAGTGATATACATTAATTATTGGAAGTGTGGAATCTCTAGAGTCCTAGTCCTTTCCTTAAAATCCTGCTGAGAAATTATTGCCATGACATTTGATGTAGTTATTCCATGTTTGACTACTAATTGTTTAGTGGAGTCAATGCATTTAGACAAAGAAAACCATTTAGTTGACTTGTCTTTTCTCAAATTACTTGTGACTCACTTTTCCTTAATTTCTATGATTGATTTCATATACTGAACAGTGTACCTTTATAGGGCTTTGGAGATGAAAGGAGAAAAAACTAATGAACGTGTATCGTTACTGTGTTCTGTTGTTGATTTGTGAATGGCACAGGTACCAGAAACTCTTTCAGAAGAGGTTCTTGGAAAGATGGGTGGACCAGCAAAAGCGATGCCCAATTATCACACCCAATGACCTTGCTGAAGCTGATGGCTTTGTGTTTGGATTCCCAACAAGATTTGGGATGATGGCTGCTCAGTTCAAGGCATTTCTTGATGCCACTGGTGGTCTCTGGAGAACTCAGCAGCTTGCAGGCAAGCCAGCGGGCCTTTTCTACAGTACTGGCTCTCAAGGAGGTGGCCAAGAGACTACTGCGTTAGTCCCTTCTCCTCAAAAAACTAACACATTTTGAGCTTGACTTGTGATTTGAAGATTCTAACTGAAAATTTTACATTAAAACTCAATAAATCTGCAGGTTGACTGCAATTACTCAGCTTGTTCACCATGGAATGATCTTTGTCCCGATTGGTTACACATTTGGTGCTGGCATGTTCGAGATGGAGAAGATTAAAGGTGGAAGTCCTTACGGTGCAGGAACTTTTGCTGGAGATGGCTCTAGACAGCCAACAGATCTTGAACTGGAGCAAGCTTTCCACCAGGGAAAACACATTGCTACCATCGCAAAGAAGCTCAAAGGCTCTGCTTGATTGTTTCACTACAAACTCATGTCCTATTGCATTCTGCTGTCCATTTTTTTTTCCCCTATGTCTAGTATACTCTTGTTTTAAGTTGCATTTCTACTACAAAAAAACAATAAGTGATTATTATCTATTATATCAGCATATATATATAGGGTCAGTGTCTATCACAGTTTACAGAGGTTGTTTACATGTTCTATGAATCATACTTAATTTTTTTTTTCTCATTTCATAATCAATGGCTACAGCAACAATCCCTTTATCTCTCTCTCTCCCAACCCCCCAATTATGTTACTCGATGTCAATTTGATAAGAAGATTTTTGTGATCCAATCCCAATAAGTTGGCTCAAACTACAAATTTGTGTTATGATACATATTTGCTACTTTGTTTGCTTAAGAAGCAACAGCTAGTTTGAACATTGAATACTCCTCAGTTTCAAAATAAGTGCCGTTTAAACTCTTTTGATTGCCAATTATAAAGTACAATATGTACCTAGTTATCCCTATTCTTTTTTTGAATATTGATGCTTGCAATTTCTATCTCCTCATTCATTTTTTTCCTTCTCTCTTATCTTGTTCATTTCTCATCGACTCTGAAGTCTGTTGGACACATTATTTTCAGCATGACTTGTAGAAGTTTTTTGAATAAAACAATCACTTCAATAATTGGTGGAGGCAACTTGCAGACTTTTAAATTAAATGTGAAGGCTATAAGTTATTCTATTTAGTTTGGTGGCCCCTTTTCTAGAATATTAAGATGAGATTATTTGCGCACTTCAATAGAAAGTTTATATCAGATCATAACGAGTCTCACTGTCATCAGTCAACAATGAGACATATTACACACTTTAGAGCGATATATACAAAACGAAAACTTCATTCTCGATTATATGATGTAATTATCGTGAAAATCTTTCATTTGCTTTTCTACAATGAAAAGTTCAGTTCTGAACTTAAAATAAACTTTATGTTAAACTAGCAGCACTCAAAAGAAAAAAAATTACGGATATTTATTTTGTATCCTGACATTAAGAAGATTGGGAGGGATCGAATTTTCATAAATTTTGAAGTCTAAGACTGAAGAAATTATTTTTTTTCTTAAATTTTTATATTTTAAAATAGTTTTTTATTTAATATTTTGAGTGATTTATTAAAAAAATCTATTAAAAATAATAATTATTTCGTTAGTAAGTGTAAAAATCTCCAACTAATATATTGATTTGGGCTTAATTGTGGGCCTGCTAATGAACTACAAACCACAAAAGTGAAAGAAAAAGGGTCCAAGCCCCAAGGAGGAGCAAAGTTATTGCTCTTATTCTTTGCATTCATCAATAGTGAAATCATAGCACATATGACTGGACTAGACTCAATTGACAAAAGGCAAATATATATTATTCGTTCATAAATCGAAAAGAGAAATGAACTTGCAAATTAATAGGAATTTTTTAGCGATCCATTAGGTGGAGATTTTCGATAAATTCCATGTTTTCTAGTAGCAAATTCAACAAAAATGAATTGTTAGGATTTTTATATGGTCTAATATGAATGAAATTTTCAAAGTTCAATAATATATAATTAGTATTTTTACAGAATTGTTCCTCTTTTTAGCGGGTTTTTAAACTACTTTTAAATTTTAAGAAAATGACTAATTTTTTTAACTTTTAAGCAGAGCTTGAGAAGAATCAAAGGATATGATAAAGCGAAATATTTCAATAAGAGGAGTAATAGTTTTTGTAAGTACGATCTGAAATAATTTTAGACGTTAGAGTGGGTAAAAAATTTAAATTGGGGGTCGAATGGACTAGTAGTCTCCTTATATGAACATAAACAATCACCCCCTCTCGAGCTAGCTTTTGAGGTTGAGTTAGCCTCATGTGTACGCCATATCTTCATATTGTATCAGAGCTAGGTTCATCCTTGTTTGAACTCTCGGTCCACGCTCCAGTTGGGTTTGGCGCGAAGGAGGTATTATTAGAGTGGGCAAAAGTCTCACAATTGCTGGAAATGGATTAATGATCTCTACTATACATAAACTTAGGCAGTCCACCTTCATGAGCTAGTTATTGAAATTGAGTTAGGTCTAGCTATCCAGGTACTATATTTTTACGAGAACTATCTTAGTTACAGTGAAAACTTTTTTTCTATCGAGGGAATTCAAAATTATATATATAAAAAATAGTTCTGCCTAATTAATTTACACAGAATGATTTTCCCAACCTCAATCGCGAGCTAGTGTTTAACATGTTTGAACAGTAAAAATGTAGGTAGGGAAGAATTATATTAATGTTTTGATGGCTATACATTCCAATTCTTAGTGGGGAAGTACTTGAAGATGTGATTCAAAGTTGAAGAAAGCAAACGAACTTTTTATGAAAATTAAACTTATGCTTGAAGAGAGTCTAAGAGAACTTTGCAATGATTAGCCAAAACAAGAAATAAAGCTACCATCTTTGCCTACTAAAGTCAGACTACTCAAACATCTATATACTTTATTAACATCAAATGATGCTTTTCTTTCCCTTTTTTCCCCTGTATATATACTATTCCTTCTTTTCTTGTTTTTCAAAATTTATTCCTCTAAGTTATAGGAGTATTAATATCTTGGAGATATATTGTAGGGGATCTCATATTGTGATGATCCACCAGCCCATTCATGTTCTTCTGTTCTCTTCATGACAAGCCCACCTCATCTTTATCAAAAGTGTTGGCCGGTTATATCAATTCAAAAATACTTTTAACATAGTCCGAGTCTCAAATTGTTACAAACAGTCTTACATTTTATATGTAGCTTCTTTTTGTATGGGATTTTATTCGTGCACTCAATATTTTTTCGCTCAAAAGTCTGATTCATGGGCTAATCTAAAATCCATCCAGTGCCAATTATATCATCCTAATATTTAGGACCACCAAAGCACACTGACTTTTTTATACGTGTCACAAAGCTATAGGTAAGCGATGATCACGAAAGCCTATTTTTTTTGGAAATATGTATATCTCCAACTTCAAGCTACGAATAAAGATAGTGATCCCGTCCATAATAAGTCGGCCCCGCAACATCATTCCACCCTATACATATCGAACCATTAGCTATAATAATAGAGTCAATAACGGTGGAATCAAAATCATAATAAATAATAACCTCATATATATATATATATATATGTCCAAGAAAGTATATAAGATATTTTAGTCTATGGATGGATAAGTGAAGAACAAAGGTACAGATCCTGATGTTCTAAGGTTTGGTACAATAGCCATCAACCGATCAATTCAAATGTCATAAATTTGAAAAGCTGATTGCTATAGATACTACTAATCAACTAAAGTTATTTTTTTTTATTTCTTTTGATGGGTCGTTGTTTATAGGGATTCGTCAAGTTTAAGCTTCTCAATTAAAGATACGTAAGAGTTAATTTACGTGCCTCAAACTCTCCAAAATTATTGTACTTCGATCAGATTTGTTAAAATATACTTTTTTTAGTTTAATATTAGTTGGTTGTCTTTCTTTTTATACGGATATAAAAAAATTATAAACAAAACTTTTTTTTTGAAATAATTGCAAGAATAATATTTAAAAGTATTAGTTAATAAATTTAATAAGATAGATAATTAATATGAACTAATTCTTTAGCAGAATAATCAACTAATGTACGATGAATAGTGAGAGTCCTATTATAAAAGTATTTGACATCTATCTATTGATATTTTAAGTCTCAGCAATATATATGGGGTAAAACATTACTACCTCTATCTCACACTTTCAGCTTTTGTGATTTATTTTTTAAAAAAAATAAAAATTGAACGTTTATTTAATGTAGAATCTTTTAATTCTTCAAAATAAAATTTGTCTATTTTTATTTTAATTTATTTGTTATATTTTAATTTAATACCGAATTTAAGATGGTAATAAAGATTTATAAATTTAAAGATATGACAGATGTACTTATAAAATGTTCTTTAATTTTATGGTCTTAAACATGTAATGTATAAAATCAATTTAGAATTAAAGATTTATTTATAAAAAAAAAGACATTCTTTCCTAAACAAACAAAAAAAATGTAGGACAAGCAAACTAAAAGTAATATAAATTACAATAATTAATAATTTTATATATTTTAAATTGAAAGCATAATTATTTACCTTATAAAAGCCATGTCATAATCAAATTGACATTCAAAAACGGAACACTATCACGACGAAGAAAATATAGTTATTATCTTAGGCCCTTTAACGTTTAGAAAACGTTTCATTCTCACTTTGCTGAAGTCTTCATTTTAATTAAGTCCACTTATTTAACTCATCAAATTATTCTCAAGTCATCTACTTCCGCTTATTATTATTAGTTGATCCGATTAATAAATTATTATTTAATTCGTTTCTAACAATTATATATTAACTATCCTATCTGTACTATTTGAGATGTAAAAGCTGGGGTAGATCAACATATTATTAAACTTCAACACGTTACTTACTTTGCTTAACATGCATTATATCTAAATCCTAATTATAATATATCTACAAACGTTCATATAATAAAAAATCTTTCATTAGGACCAACTAAATCGTTACTGATAATACCTTAAGAATGGTGAATGGTGATACTCACAATTTAAGATTAAATTGTCTTATGTGAGGTAACTTTAATCTTTTCCCTACCAATTAATTGAACACCACACACAAAATATAAAATAAAAACTAAGAACCAAAATGGCTGCTTATTTTATCATCCACTTTTGCTCACACCTCCACCTTAACTTCTTTTTTTCCCCAGGAAGATAAATTCTTTAAATATATGATTGACTAAATTAGAAGAAAATGAATAAATATTGCGAGTGAGATTTGCTCTAATTTTATTTAAATACTTCTTATACAGTTATATTAATAACTTCCCTTCATTTATTTTTACTTGTCCAATATCGACAAGGCACAACTCTTCAATTATTTTTACTTGTCCAATATCGACAAGGCACAACTCTTAAACAAATATGACAAAAATATTTTATTATTTTACTATTTGAATATATCGAATTTAATATTTTAAAAAATGACAATAGTTAATAATAAGGATAATTAGAATCTAAGTGATAAATTAGTTTTTGAATTTTATAAATTGAATAATACCTATCGAATACCATATATAGTAGATAATTAAAAATAAACAGTGAGAATAGCAAGTTAAAGATTCGAGTCATCGAGAATATATAAAGCTGGAGAAGACGTTAAATCCTTCAGGCTGGATGGGGAAAAACGACTTGTAGTATTTCTTCTAAAATATTTAAAGATGAATTATGTGTTTAGAATATGACAAGAAAACTTTAAAGCTAAACCTAATCTAGCTTTAAGAAAGGATAGAATTTATGCACCAAATAATTATACAGTACTTATATAAATAATTAAATTAAATTAATAAGACTTTTCATATTCCATGGTTGTTCAAGTAGGGTGGCGTATGCCATAGGTATTGGGGTGGGGGTAGGGGGGTTGTGTAGTATGGCCGCCAAGACAATTTAAATCACATAAAAATGGATATAAATAATGGGTTATGGCCGACCCGACCCACTAGCTTGAAAACAAGAATTCTCAGAGATTAGCCTAAAAGTATAATCAGTGGGACTCCCCTCTGACTTCCACTACACACATTACATTACAAATTCTAAACAAATCAAAAGCTATGCATTTTCTATTTTTGTTTACATTTCCTTTTTTATAATTGTGAAAATTGAATTAATTTACGCGCATCTCAACTGATTCAACAAAATACCTATTATCTTCCCCTCACAGGATACTCGTCAGTTAATTTTATTCATCAACATGTAAAAAATTACATAGTATTTTTAATTTGTCTTCGCTCAAATTTAAACACAAAACGTGATGTATTTATTCATTTGATCATTAGGCTATATTGGTTCATAGATAAAAGGAAAAAGAACAAAAAGGAAAAAGAGAGTCATACGAACATTTTAAATACATATAATATCTAGAAACAGGAACAAAAAGTTCCTTATATATGATGTGCTAAATTCAGCCCAACCAAGAGCAACAAAACAACAAGTTACATAAAACATAAACACAAATGTTAAAATAAAGTAGTCTTAGCTAAATTTAGCACTTGTTCCTGTTCCTAATCCTTGCAAATTATTACTAGTAATTAATTAAGGTGATTACAGCTCTACACTTAATCTTCTCTATAATCATCATGTACTTAGCCTACCAACACATCATTCTGGCTGTAGATATGGCCCAGCATTGGCTGTCAATACTCACTTTCCCTTTTCTTACCTAAAATTAAAATCACTGCCTCTCTACCTGAACGTACCACCAAAATTTGGAGTCCAAAAATCTGTACTACTTTCAGTTGCTACTGGAAAAGTACTCGATATCGGTACCAGACACAATCCTCGGCTCCTTAAATCTTCTTCCTTCACCTTATCAGCAATCTGCCAATAACAACTTGTCAATTTTTACGTCACTTAAAAGATAACTATATATGTCACACTATCGATGTTTTACCTGTTGGTGTTGAGTGGTGGTTGATCCATTTTTCAAATAAGGAGTACTAAGAGCCTGAAATAAAATAAGTTCAATTTGAGTTTTCGTGAATAATAATAATAATTATTTAGTGTTTTGAGTAATCAACGTACATTGACTTGATCATGGAGGAACTTGATGTACTCAATAGCTTCATGGAGAACTGAAGCTGTATCAGTCTGAAATTAAAGATAATTTAGAGTTATTTTAATAAAAATGATGATAATTTTGTTTGTTGGAAAATATCCAAATAATTACCTTTCCGAAAGGTGAAACCAATTGCTGGAGAGCAGTAATACGGTCCCCCAATTTCTCTTTTCTGACCTGATGATAACATAAAAAAGCTGAAAAATTCTCATCCATTTCTTTGGACAAAAAAAAAATCATTTTACTTATTAAAAGAAAAAAGCTTTAATCTTTAGTCTAAAGTTGGATTACATAGATAGATATTTTCCTCCTTTTACCTTAAAAGTTGGCAATGGTGATGGTGTCTCTATTCTTGCCCTCTTCAATGTTGCTTCATTAGTCACACTTTTCTTACTCACCCTCGACTCTCTTAAATCTTCAACTTTACTCTGAAAATTTCGTAATCAAACAAATGCTTAATTAATCATTTAATCCTAACAACAACAACCAAAAAACTTAGCATCATGTCCATTTAATCCTATGTAACAACAATTTATCTATGATGACATACCTTCTAAGTAATCTGATTGTATAAATATTTTTTAGACTGTCAATGAAAAAAAACTTACTATATACTATGAACACTTGTTAAATTGTATAAATATTTGTGACGCTTAGTGTATGTAAGTTAAATTCTTATGTATTTACCTTTGGAGTAACGTTAGGAGCTCTGGAATTGTCGTTAAATGTTGGTGACTGGAGAATTTGTGGATGCATAGAAGGCATAAGAGTAGCGCGCATATTGTTTAAGGATGTGGCTGATGAAGTATTGTAGAGAGAGGCAGTAGCATTAAGAGAGTAATTTGGAAAATGATTCGAAGGTGTTGTAGTTTGTTTTGGTATCAACAAGGAATTAGGGAATTTAGGCATAGAAGGTGAAAAGTCATTCAAATCAGGCCTATAGTTTAAGGATGATGTTGGGAAATTCATTGGTTGGTTGTTATTAGTAGCAAACAAAGATTGTTGTAATTGTTGTTGTTGAGGAGGATCGTTATCAAATAAAGTTTGAAGTAAAGCTGAAGGATAATTAGAGAAAGATGAATTCATTGGAAAGGTTGAAGAAATTTGATCATGATGAGTATTAGTTGAGCTAGTGATTGGATGATTCATTCCTAAAGTGAAATCTTGCTTAAATGAGTTGCTTGAACAATCAACACCACTTTCTTGTTGGTAATTCATGCTTGAATTTATATCTTCTTGCTGTAGTATTGAAGGATAACTACTTTCACTCCTATCATTTCCATGCCTGCATAATACAAATTTCAAGGAGAAGAAAAAGAAAAAAAGTTACAAACTTTTATGAATAAAAACAACAAAATTGACTTCTTTATAAAGAAACCCTTTTTTTCCCCATAGAAATGAAAGAATATCTCCTTTATTCCCTTTTTTTCTCCATCTCACAACACAACAATAACTAGTACTTCTTCATCAGCCTCAATCATTTTAGGATCGACTGTATAAATACAACTTAGAGTAAAAATAATACTTAGGAGCGCGAATAAAAAAGCTTACATCAAGGTATGACTCCAATTATCATTTGTTGATGAAGAATTAAGGCCACTACCCAAGATTTGTAGGGTGGAATCATGTTTAGGTAATTCTTGAAGAACGACAGATTCATCGGAATTACCAGATTCATCGTTAGACCTACAGGAAGATTTCATATCCAACAAATGATCGTTTGTCCATGCAAAATTAGAGTTTCCTAAAGGAACTGAAGATGCACATAGTGATGAACCAAATATACTTCTACTTGAATTCCACCAGTTTCCTCCACAAACACTTGCTTGATATTCATCAGCCATAACTTAGTCACTCCTAAATAAATTAAAAATATACTTCTTCTAGCTCCTTGAATAAAGCTCGACTAGTCGTAATAGTACTTGTGTGTTTCTGTATTACATGAAAATGAATTTATGAACTGAGAGTTGTACTTATATATATATATATATATATATATATATATATATA